CATATATATGTGTATATATATATATATATATACTCCTCACTGTGTAACTTACCTAGAAATACAAACTTTTCAAATTCTAAAAATCAGCCATTTCATGCAACCAGAAACTAGTTAAAAGCTTCTATTTTCCTCTTTGAACAGTCAAGATTGCATGGCAAAGACCCAGTCGAAATGATTTACCCCTGGTTAAGTTTCTGAAGACTTTGTACATACAGAAGTACGGCTCTGTTCTTTCTACACTGTACATTTGGTGCTTTCCTTTTGTCTTGCATACTCAATAACCAAGACACCAAGGTTATGAAATAGACTACTGTACATGTCCACCTAAGGTTCAAAAAGGTTAACTGTCTTGCTTTCATGGAATAATCAAGACATCAAGGTAAGGAAATAGGACTGTTGTACAGTATGACAGGATAAGACTAAAGATACTCCAATTTAGTTAGTATGAAACCTTGTCTTTGCTTTTTGATGCTCTCAATTGCATCTTTTATTTCATGTTGCCCCAGTAAAAGTATACACACTCACTGCACTAGCAGAAGAGAATTCTTTATCAATGTAACTGCCAGTTCAGTTCATCAAATGTCATTTGTTCAATTGTTGTCACTTTAAATTAAAAGTGGTTTATTACTTAATAACATAACTACACAATAAAAAAGATACATTTTTACAGTAATGATAGCCTCTAAGGCAAAAAACACTTTTCAGTGTTACTGTTTGTTTACCTGTTCATAAGCCATTAGAGAACTTGGCAGGCTGATATACCACCTAGACCTTGTAACTCTAGTGTCCTTCCTGATTCATGCCTCATACTGGAATTTTTTTTTTTTCCAGTCTTCTTGATGCCAAGGGGCTAATGGTAACTCCCAAAGGCATGGGCATAGAATCTGCCTCCTTTGACCTTGTTCAATCACTATGAAGCAGAGTGAAAGCTGTGGTAGAGTGGTTAACAGATACAAGCGTCAGGTTCTTAGTTCTCATTTAAGCACTAGTGAATTTTTTTTGGATATATTAGCAAGTCTGTGATGTACTTTCACTGGCTCTGTTTGTACATTGAGATTGTTTAACAAGGCTTTCTATGTTCATATACTGTTTACCTTTTTCCATGGAGTCTCCTGGCAAAGAATAAAATATATTTATTTTAAAGGCGTGTGGGAACTTTTACTACTTTTTCACCTTCAGTAAAGAGACAGAGAACACAGTTCCATTTTTAATGTTTAAATTTCATTTCAAAAAGCAGGTCTGTAGTCTGCAACCAAGACAATTAAAATCTGTGCTAATGCACGGCAGTCTATAACAATTCTACAAGCCAATCAGACAATACATGACGTTTCAATGAGTAAAAAAGAGCATAAAACTGTATGTGTAAGAACAAAATGTTAAAAGGCCTACCACAATAATAAAAAACCATCAATTACATCATCACATTAAAATAAGCCAGATGTACAAAAGTCTGAGACAGAAAAGACAAAAGGACAACACAAATTATTTGTTGAAAAATGTTTGTGCTCTTTGGGCACTTAATTAAACATTGCAAAATCAACATCTTCTTCTTCATCAGACTCTGCAAAATATTTTACTTCTTTCCTAGCCCGGCCGGTCCTTGGCAGAGAAGGTGGTTCAGAAGTGAAGTCCGAGGGGAAGATATCTACATCTGAATCTTGATCAAAAGATGTCTTCTTCGGCTTCTAGACATTTTTTAAAAAAACAAAATAGATTTAAAATCTCAACGTTGAGGAAATTTCTGTTACTTAAGAAATATTACAAACAATTATGCTTTTAAAATCAGAATTGTAATGCTAACTTGTATGTAAGACCAATTTTGGAAAGGGAATAAAAGGGATTTGATATAATAGTTTTCCACCTCAGCGGTCTTATGTTTACCAAGTTATAGTCTCAAAAACGCAACACCATTACTATATATTACTCAACAAATATGCACAATGACTAGATTAATAAAAATTCAAGTTGTCCTATTTGTAAAACATATCAAGAATTCATGGAAGTAAAACAAGATCATGCACAATGTGAGTAAAAATGCAGAGAAGAATAACCAATGTGGACAGCGAGGCATAGAAGACTACTGAGTGAGAGATCAATATGAAAAATAGCTTAAAGCCATAGTCATCTATGCTTGTATTTTAAAATTTTCATAGGAAGAGGGGGAGCATCTGAGGTCATTCATTTACCTTAAAGAGATAGTATATCTGGAGAAAGGTCATATTAATTAGGAATATTAGCCACAAACAAATTCAATATAAAGAATGGAGTTCATCCAAATTTAAAAGAAAAAGTATAACTTCAAGTAGCATAACTACTACAGCTCAATGGATTACATGAAGATTCTAAGTAGTATAGCTTATAGCATACTATTTATGCAAGAAGTAGACTGGTTATATAAATTTATACCACAAAATTGTTTAATTGTATTGGTAAGAGAAGCTATATTAAAGCTATCACAGTAGTAAATCAGCCACATCAGTTATAGGTTATCTTAAATGAACCCAGGCACTACAAAGATGCTCTTGATTACCTTGCTTGTTGGTTTAGATGTTTTCCTGCCAGGGTTATAATCCCCTTCATTTTCAGAGCCAGATGCTTTCCTTTTCTTTGCCCCTCGGCCTTTACCTTAAAATGAAACAAAAGTTTTTTTTCCCCTCTTAATGATAAATGCAACATAGAAAAATAAATGCCAAAACATTATGGTTACTTATTTAGCATGCCCAATCAGTGAGGCATTATAATCCCAGTCTCATTATGAATGGCACACACACAATTTGGGAGCACCATTTTAATTCTAGGGCTGACATGACTACAGAGTATTTCACAAACAGATTTACACAAGTGGGAAAATCCTAGAGACAAAGATCTAGACTGCACAGTAAGAAAAGACAGTCTAAATGATCTTGGAAGGTCACTGTTACTCAAATGATTCAATGAAACAGCACTTGTAAATTTATAAAGGTTTCAAAAATCATGCATACTTTAAATACTGACCTAATCTCTATGATTCTTTTCTACCCTCCGATTCTTTTTGTTTCCCTATTGAACTACTGTTCCTTATCCCAACTACCCCTTTAAGAAGTAAAATAAACACACTGATGAAAAATACTCTAGTTGTATAAAAGACTGAACAGCTACTCTGAGTATGTTATCACACATGCTGGAGGCAAAGAGGGGGTGCCAGGAAGAAGAACTGGTGCTAGTTTCTTGTGTGGCCCCAAGTCTGGCTATTTCATTTCCAAGATGAGCAAGAAGTTCTCATTAAGAGTCCTGCATCTAACCCACCCTAACGAGTGTCACACTTCAGTTAGTATCGATCCTAATCTGCCTTTTAAATAACAACTTCCAGTGCATTTGCTGCAGGGGTTTTTTAACCCCTCCTTACTCAACCTAGTTGAGTCTAAATGTTTGGTGAAAACAAAGTGATTGAACTGAATTGCTCTATTTCCTTTGAACTCTAACTTAGCACTAATTCTTAGACATACTGTTTAGTAACACAATTGAAAATAAAATAGGTATCCAGTCTCTAAATTCAATGAAGTAGAAAAATCTAAATTTTTTCCACAGAACATATGTTGAAGGGTTATACAAAGACAATCCTCACCTTTTGGTGCTGTAGTCTTCTTTGGAATGCCAAATTCTGAATCTGAGTCAGAGTTTACAGTCTCTACTACTTTCTTCTGTTTGGAGGCTCTTTTGGGTTTAGAAGCTTCCAGGCTTGTAGGTGGTTTTCCTATTAAGTAAATATCCATTTCAAAGGTCAATATAATGTACTTACCAACAAACAAAGCTGAAGTGAGTTCTGTAACAATGGGATTTGTTACTGCTGACAAGAAATTGAGTAGCCTTAAGTAATGAAATGGTTCCTCTGCTATGTGCCAATGGAAAGGCAAATAATTTCTCATACATGACAAAGTGCTAATTTAATTATGCATAATTTATTTTTAGATAATTCAATTGAGATATTTTAAACAAGGGCCATTAAAATGAATTGAGTAGCCTTTAAATATAGTATAGTCATGACAAAAAAGTAGCATCTCTGACATTAATTATAACTCAAGCACAATATGTGTTAAGTTCTAGTTTTTAAAATGGTTTAGTGGAAATGTAGCTTTTTATAGGAACCTCAAAGACAAAGAATAGAAACCAACTCACTTCCATTCAACAGCTGAAATTCAGACTCTACGTTTTTATATGGAAATAGATATGAAAATCCTAGATAAGTAGAAAATAGATAAAAGGCCTTTGCTTTGTTGTACTATATGTATTTAAAATAGATCTTATTTCTTAGCTTCATCTGCAGGTCTATGTAAAAACTGATAACACTGTTTACTGGTGTAATAAAGCCTAATTTGGGAAAAATGTATTGAATGAATCCAAATTAACTGCATACTTTTCTATTAAAAGTCAGTACCAATTCTATGGAAAATGTATTCCCAGTCTCAATCTGAGAAGCTAGAGATAATAGTCCTCACTAGCCAAAGGCAGGAGGAACTCTATATGGTGGTGGTGGTGGCCAAAGATTTTGTGGGTTTTCCTTCCTTTGAGTTCTCTGACTAAATCTAACATAGGGACCATAAAGCAACTCCTAGCAGGAACACAGACTTGACATAGCTGGGTGAAGGGGACCACCTTTTCTCTTTGGCAAGGTTTCCAAGCTTGCAGGGGTAGGTGGCACTTTTAACTCTACCAGCCAAACAAAGGACCGATACCTAAGTACTATAGGTTGCCTTTTGTATTAGAACATAGAATCTGACTTGTATAATATTATATAACTTGGGGTTGACACATGACCTGTTCTCTCCTTGAAGTATTGTATGGGAATTTGATTTGGGGAGGAAACTTGAGGAAGGGAGACAGCTTGTTGCGGCCCCTGAAGTCACTCTACAGTCTCCTCCTACTCAAGTAACACAAAGCCAGTTTAGCTACTAGAAAAACAACCAAATAGGATAGGTGATAATAGCATAGCCTTTTAGTTAATGCTAAAACTCATTACACTGAATAGCTTGATGAAGGAAACAAGATGCTGTTTCAAGAAGGAATATAGTTCCTAGGGTATTTCTAAGATACTTATATGAGGATTTCAAAAAAACCCAAAAAGACTGGTCACAGAGGTTCATGCCTATAATCCCAGTAACTTGGCAGGCAGAGGTAGGAGAATTGAGGTCCAGGGCCAGTCCTGAGCAAAAGCATAGAAACCTATCTGAAAAATATCTAAAGCAAAAAATGGCTGGGAGCATGGCTCAAGTGGTAGACTGCTTCCCTAGCAAGCATAGGCCCTGAGTTCAAAATTTTAGTACTACCAAAAATTAATAGACAACAAAGAGAGGACAACTAGTAATGGATAAGTTATCAAGCCACTCATCATCCTAGGAGCTTAATTAATCCCCATAAGGAATTTAGGGGAGCCAGTGTAATACATCTCAGAGTTAACCTACCTGAGAAGCAAGGGCACTGAACTATGCACTGACTAGTTCTCCTCAATCACTGGTTAAGGAGAGCTAGGGTCAAGAAAAGTGTTAATATTCCAGCATAGCTGCAAAGCAAACATTCTCAAGCAAAGAAATGTGGACACTGGCAATGTGTACTAAAGAGATTAGGGCAACAGGTTATGGGTGAGTCACACAGTGTATTGTCTACAGAGACTCCTCTAGCCAATCTCATCACAGTTCTAGCACATTAAAAATAAGCAGGTACTTAAGTAGGTGTTGTTGTTCTGCTGAGCTTAATACACATGTGGCTATAATGGTATTATATGTTGTAGATTTTTAAGATCCTGAGGGAACAGCTATGTCTTATATAGCATCTTAAGTAGATTTATTTCTTCAAAGTGTTATCTTTCAAACATAAACTAATAATAAAACTAATAATGACCTCCTTCAAAAAAGACCAAGATATATCCCTTGGCACCAGTAACAGATTCATTAATTAACTATTTCATGTACAATCTAATGTTATGGAAAAGAGAAAAGCTACATGATTCACAAAGAAAACATGGTCTGACTGAACTGTCCAATCCATCCACATAGGGAGTAGAGGCATTACTGACGTAGGTAACAGAATCAGGCTACTAACAAGACAAAACTTTAATCTGCTTTAACAACAATGTTTAGACATCAATGCCAGGGTTATTTTATAATTACAACAGCTTTAAAATGCAGTCTTGGGCTGGTGGAATGGGTCAAGATGCAGAGTGCCTGCCTACCAAATGTGAGGCCCTAAGTCAACTCCTCAGTCTTACAGACATTGTAATAATCCTTTCACATGATTAGAAAACAAGAGAAATTCTTTTTATACACCCTGATACTTTTTAAAATAAGTTTTATCTTGAAATCCTAGTGCAAATAGTTTCAAAATATATCAAACTTCCTTTTACATCAATTATCTCTACATGGTTTATGTACTGCTTAACAATCAAATAAGTACATACCCTTTTTAGCAGCTGCTGTTTTACTTGGAACTTTATCTGTTTGCTTCAGACCAAATGATGGTGAAAAAACAGAAGCAGTGTCTTCTTCATTACTGTCAAATTTAGCTGAATCTAAAAATTTCAAAGCTTTTTTTAGTAAAGAGATTCTATAAAGACCTCTGAGTAAACTGATTCTTTGATGACTTCTCTTTAGCTAGATAATTGATCTTGTAAGTTTCTATTTTGATCACATAATCCACAATATACAAACAACCGAAAATAAAAAATATATGAATGTTATACCTCAAAAATGTTAACTCTGTAATGAAACAATATAGAAATGCATAGAGTAGTGAAAATTAATAGTACTAAATGCTAATCATTTAAAACATAACTAACAGTTCAAAAAATATATACTAATGATTTGTTTTAACATGAGATATGAAAAAGCTCTACTGTGATTATTTTAGTCGTTAACTAGATAAAACTATTAACCTTTCAGGAATATCAGTACCAATGCTCAAATCTAAAGAGCAGTAAGTATTTGTATTTTTAAATCATTAAGTCCTTGAAGATTAATTTAAAATACATGCAAACTTACCTTCAGTTTATCTTTTGCTTGTTTTTCTTTTGGGGGGGGTCATTTTGTTTTTTGAGTTTTTTTTTTTTTTTTTGAAACAGAGTCTCACTATGCAGTCAAGGCTGGCCTTGAACTCAATACCCCTGCCTCAGCCTCCTAAGTACTTGGGATTACAGAGGGATACCAGCACACCCAGCTTCAGCTTACTTTTGTTCACACATTAGTTTAATTTAGCAATCAATTCTTTTTTCTCTTAACTACATCAAGTACTTTTAAAATGGCTTCATGGATTTAAGTAAATATTTTTAAATAACTGTTTTGACATACTGCCAAAAATGTATATCTATACAACAAATGCAAACCTGTATGTTTGTGTACTTAAAAATGCAAGACAGTGAGGCCCTGAGTTCAAACCCCAACATAGCCAAAAAAAGAACAACAAAAAAAAAACTGCACACACAAAAACGCAGTCAGTCAAAAACATACCCTGATTAAATTTGCTCCTATGAAGGTTTTAGTCTCTCAACTACAAAGATTTAGTAAAACAAATCTACATCTATATTGGTACCTTTATAGGTTTAAATATATATTTATGTTGCCATGAAAATCAAATTTCAGTTTTCCAAAATTTCTTTTTGGAAACATTATATATACACAAGCAGGTTAGCATTTGCTTGTGCGCCGCAATGTCCCAGAATAATGCCTATGCTGACCAGTAAGTTGGGAATCACATCAGAAAAAGTTAATAAACTTTACTATAATATTGAGTAAAATGTAAAAAAGTAAACCTCTGCGCATGAAAATTTTAAAATTAAGTCCTGACCTAAGGATTTAGCTACTGTTTTCTACCAATTATAACAACATAATAATTAATCAATGAAACGACTAACAGAGCATACCATCTTCTGACTTCTGAGAGTATGAAGGAAATGAAAAGAGATTCCCAAAATCCTGTCCCTTTTTGTCATGTGAAGATTTTCTATTAGAAAGAAAACACCACAAACAGGATATAATTTAAATATGCAGTTTCAACCTTGGGAAGCTGGATTATAATCACAGAACAAAACTTTTATTTTTTAAAATTTCTTTCTCTGTTAAAGACAGGGCAAAGAAAATTTTTTCACAAATCTATGTATACATACAAACACTAGATAAAAGAAAGATATAACAAAATAAGAATGAAAACTGGGCAATGGTTTATTCAAAATATCATTAAACTAGGGCTGGAGATGTGGCCTCAAGAGGTAGGACACCTGCTTTGCAAGCGTGAGCCCTGAGGTCAAACCCCAGTCCCACCAAAATAAATAAATAAATAAACCATTACACTAAATTTTATGGTTGACAGAACTAGACAGTCCAGAATTGAGCATTAGTAAATTACTCGCAAAGACCCCAAGAAAAAGATGGAATCCCCATCATGGTAAGTAATAATCCCATTTCAGATCTACCATCATTGGGCAGTTATTTCAGCATCTGGTCAAGGCCAACTACAGTAAGTGAGAAAATGGTTCTTTTAAAAAACTTGAAATAGTTCATAAATCTATTTTCCCTCTATTCCCTCCCATGTTAATGCTGATACTCACTAAAAGCAAGAAAAATCAGTCAAAACCAAATCTAGGAAAATATATATAAACATCCCAATTCCTAAAGATCTAGTAACTTTTCTCCAAACTAGGAATTATCCAAATACATTCCATGAGCATTTTTGTAAGTAATGTTTTATTGGAACGTAAACTCATTTGTTTATGGTTGTTTTCTTGCTACAATGGCAACACTGACTAGTTGTGATAAAGCAATATGATCAGCAAAACCTTAAATATTTACTATGAAGTTCTTTATGGAAAAGTTTGCCAATCCTTCCTCTATTTTTTTTTAATTTTTATTTTATTCATATGTGCATACAATGTTTGGGTCATTTCTCTCCTTCCCCCACCCCCACCCTTACCCTTCTGCCCCTTCCCTCTCCCCCCCCTCGCTACCCAGCAGAAACTATTTTGCCCTTATCTCTGATTTTGTTGAAGAGAGAGTATAAGCAATAATAGGAAGGAACAAGGGTTTTTGCTAGTTGAGATAAGGATAGCTATACAGGGAGTTGACTCGCATTGATTTCCTGTGCATGTGTGTTACCTTCTAGGTTAATTCTTTTTGATCTCACCTTTTCTCTAGTTCCTGTTCCCCTTTTCCTATTGGCCTCAGTTGTTTTAACGTATCTGCTTTAGTTTCTCTGTGTTGAGGGCAATAAATGCTATCTAATTTTTTAGGTGTCTTACCTATCCTTATACCTCCCTTGTGTGCTCTCGCTTTATCATGTGACCAAAGCCCAATCCCCTTGTTTTGTTTGCCCTTGATCTAATGTCCACATATGAGGGAGAACATACGATTTTTTGGTCTTTTGGGCCAGGCTAACCAATCCTTCCTCTAAATTACAGCAACCACTAGGGGAACAGCTACAATATTAACCTTATATACAATGACAACAATGTCCTAGAGCTGCCTATAAGACCTACAGCAAATGTCTAGACAACTAATTATATCATATTACTGAACAGCAGACACTTCATTACTTACTCTGGAGTAGCTTTTGATTTGCCTGGAGAAAATGTATATTCATCTTTTTCTAAGCCATCTGAAGGAATAAATTCATCCTCCCCATCATTTGTTATGGGAGATGCCTTAACTTTCAGTTCCTCTAAATCATTGTCGTCATCATCATCAGCATCATCATCCTCTTCCTCTGAGAAATCAAATGTGTACTTAGGTCTCTCAGCTAGGAGAAAATAAAAATGAATGTTAGCTGGGTACAGTGGCATGTAGGAGGCTGAGGCAAAAGAAGCAGGATTTGGAGGCCAGCCTGGGCAACGCAGGAAGATCCCATCTTAAAATCAACAACATAAGAATGTTAAACTCAGATCCTAATATATATCCACATGAAATATTTAAAAATACATAAGGAAAAGACAAACACTTAAAGAATAAAAACCAACAACTCTGACCTCAAAGTGTTGGCATATGCCTTATACTTTTCAGAAGCTGGAAGTAATGCTGAATATGTTAACAGGACATAAACTTATGGGGCTGACTGATTAGGATGTGGTTTGCTATTCTTAAATATGTCTCAAAAACACTGAGGAAAGTAGTCAATATGGCCTTGTCTCATATGGTTACTGTACAAAGGACTACAGTATAAGGTTTCCCATTTCTTAGAAGCACAAGCCCCTGAGTTCAAACTCCTGTACTACCAAAACAAACAAACAAACAAACAACAAGAAAAAAACCTATTTCTTCAATGAGAAATGAAAAGGTTTACAGTTCTTTAAAAAGTGCTAAACTTTCTGGGCATGGTAGCCCATACTTGTAATCCTAGCACTCAGGAGATGAAATGTAGGAGGATGGCGAGTTCAAAGCCATCCTAGGCTACATAGGTTGAGATCTTATCTCAAAACTACCCAAAAAAAGTGCTAAACTTTCTCTTAACCCCTCTGATTAAAAACTTTTATCTTTTCTTTAGGGTTAGTTTTACTATGAAATAACAAAGACTGTAAATTTTCAGATGAATGAGAAAAAAAGATACAAAACAATGAAACTTCAATATATTAATAAAATAATTTAACATGTCTAAAAAGATACCAATTATGGGGAAAGGAATATGGAATAAGACAAATAAATTCTATTATAACTTCTAGCATGTATTATAGAATAAAACTTTGAAATAATTTTTCACAAAAGGCCTAAATATAATTTTGAAGCATTTAATATAACAAATTAATTTTCATATAATTTAAGTTATCCACATTAAAGATTTACCTATATTATACCTATGTTCTTTAGGAAAAATAATTCAATCACTCAATAATTACAGAGTCAAAGAACTTAAGCCTGGTGTATAATTAAAAATGTATCTCTCAAGAGTTAAACATTACACTAATGTTGTAATATTCATTGTAATAGATTAGGACTTATCAAAATTTAAGAAGAATTTATAAAATAAGAAACTCATCAGATTTTAATTATTGAATAATTTGAGTTAATGAATGTTCACAAAGGTTCAAACCACACACACTCAATAGAAAGATGGGGTTCTTCAGCCTAACCTCCCACTATAATGAAAAGAGCTACATATATAGAATCAGATTCTTAAACATACAAGACTACAGGAGGACAAGATTCTTCATGATATAAATGAAGAAATCAAAAAGTACTTCTAATAGATCCGTCACTGCTGGTATACTACCAGCCTGCATGTTTTTTAAATCAAATGTTGCAAACCCAGGGAAGGAATATAACCCAAACTTTTATAAATTCAATACAAAACATGATTCACTTTAGAGAAGTTTATGTTCAACCTTGCTAGAAGAGACCATTCTGCAATGCAATTTGTCTTTGTGACTATAAGTTCTTAAATAATGATTTAGTACTCCAGCAATATGGATAATACTAAGATCAACTTATAGATAAATCTATAATATGCAATAAAATAAATATGAAATGTATCACAATACCAGCTGCTCTCCTAAGCAAAGAATCTCTTGGAATAACCACAGGTTCTGTTTCTTCCAAGTCACTTTCTGACTTAGACTCATCATCTGACCAAGGATTCCGTTTCTTCACTTTCTTTGTGCTAGGTTTACCAGATGATGTAGGTGTTTTTCTAACTCTGGTACCTAAAACCAAAACAATGGCATTATACATTCTTAATAAATAAGTAACAAATATTTATGAAAAAAAGAAACCAGTAAAAATAAAACAGTTATAACGAAAAAGTTCATTATAAAATAACAAATGTACATGAAAATTGAGGGCATTACTTCAACTATTAGAAAAAAAAAGATTCTGTATGTAGAGTTCTTCTCTCAGCATAAACACATACATACACACAAATCAAAATTTCTCACCAGGCTCTTTTTTCTCCCTTTTGGGTTTGGGACCTTTATTTGCAGGGGCTGATGTGGTTAATGCCTCTTCTACACCTTCTACTGGTGTTCCACTAAATTCCTCATCAAATTCCACTTTCACTGCGGTAGTATCCAGATCACCCTACATATTAAAAAGGAAACAAAACCATGATTTTTCAAATAAAAGTTAAATTAACAGTGCATATTTTAGAGATACAGTTCCAGTCAATGGCTTTTTCACATGAGGTAACTCTTGTTTTTTGGGGTTTTTTAATGTGAGCCTGTTGGGGTCCTAACAGATGACTATGATCAGATGTTTTAATTTTATTCATCTGAAGCAAATAACATTGCTTACAGCTCTAATTTTTTTGGGACACTCAATGAGATAACTGCTACTTAGAAGTAACCATAAAAATAAGAAGGCAGCTTTTGATTAGCGAAGGAACTATGAGACCAATAGCTAAGCACACGTAAAGGCTCTTGCAAGATTAGCTCCTATACCTGAGTCTCTACATAATAGAACAAAAGTATTCAAATTATTGAAGAAAAATAAGCAACATATGTCACGCACAGCTAGACACTATCAGGCAAAGTCTCCAACCCTAAGACTATGGGAGGACAAAGGGAGCAGAGGGAGAGAGAGATATAATTACAATATAACAATATAAATAATAAATACAGAGTGAAGTATAGCAGTGGCTTTGGTGGGCAGGTGGGGGGAATGACAAACTCAGTTTAAGGAAGAGTCTGAGAAGCTTTCATAGCGACTTTCTTATTGTGTTCTGAAGGAATCATTTAAGTTTGCCAGGTTCTTGAAGAAAAGGAGGGAACAGCATCTGAGGTAGGAGACACAAGCATGAAATACCCTATTATGTTTAAAGAATTAGGTCTTTGAACATAGGAAATAGTCTGCTAGGATTCAAGGAAAGGTGAAAGTATAACCAGGAATAGAAACGCAAGGAGGCACCCAGATGTCAAACCACTATATACCCGGAGTCTGTGTGTGGGGAAGTCACTGAAGGTTTTTAACCATTTGTGTAAAAATATAATTCTAGTAATAAAAGACAGGTCTAAAAGAAATGAAGTGGAGAAAAGCTAAAATCATGACTAAATAACTAGAGACAGGTTAGAGGAACTAGTTAAAAGGACCACTTTAAAGTGTATCTCAGAGAAAACATAGACTTCTAAGGCAATATAAAGAGGACCAAGGTAAGGGGGTGGATTCTAGAATTACTTAGTAGGCAGAAAATAGGATTTATTCGTTAAATGAAAAAACTGAATAAAGCCCAGCACAATGGCATGCACCCAAAGTTCCACCTACACAGGAGGCTGAGACAGGTAGGAGGGTCGCTCGAGCGCAGGAGTTTGAGGTCAGCCTGGGCCACATACTATTCGCATATGTGTGATTCTTCACTAACTCCTCTCATGGAAAGAGTAAGATTTCTGGCTAGGCACAGTGGCTCATGCCTATAATTTTAGCTATTCAGGAGGCAGAGATGAAAAAAGACTGCAATTTGAGACCAGCCTGGGCAAAAAAGTTCTTGAGACCCCACCTCAGCCAATAAAGCTGGGCATGGTGGCATATGCCTGTCATGTCAGTTATACAGGAGGCATAAATAGGAGGATCACTGTCTAAACCAGCCCAGGCCTAAAGCAAGACCTTATCTCCAAAATAAGCATAGCAAAAAAAAAAAAAAAAAGAAAAAGATTTCCTATCACAACCCTGAAAATACATTAGAAAATTAAAATAAAGCACATTAAGCACAGACTGAAATAAAAATAAATATATATTGATACAAGAGTCTACCAATGAACTAAAACATACCTTTTTCTTTTTCAGCAACTTCTTGCTGGCATCTGCCTTCATAGCAGTGATTTCAGGAACTATCCTTCTCCCATACGGTGAAGGCATTGTCTCCTCCAGTTGCAGCTTCTTCACCTTAGGTTTGCCAACTTTACCTTTAATTGCTTTTCCAGACATTCCCGCCAGAATATCTTCTCGTTCTTGTGCTTCCACTTTCTGAAGTATAGTTACAAGGGGGAAAGGGATGGAAACAACTCCTTAGAAGGAAAATCACTACTGCATAAGAAATTGAAACAAACATTGCTCACTCACTAAGGGATAATGCTTTCACTTCAACTGATCTAAGGCAAAATAAGGACAAAAATTCTAAATCAAAAGACCTATGTGGTAATCCCAATTCCTCCAACTAGCTCTCACTACTAATACAAGAAGACAGTAATGACTAAATGACCTAACTGTCTCCTTCCAATTCTAGAGTCCTACAATATGCTGTAGAATGGGGGTCTTAGATGACCTGGTGTCATCGAAAGTAAGTCAAATCACACCTAAAGGCAGTCCTGTCAAGAAGTACAAAGCTACTCTTTTCTATTGCTGTAGCCATGGTAATTGTTCACAAACATAAAATCAGAAAGTATGAAAAATTAAAAGTCCCAATACACTTACATTGAACTTATGGGGATCTATGTAATGATGAATGAGGGTATAACCAAGATTAATGTCATAGATTCTATATTTTATAAAATGATCCTTTCAAATAATTAACAGGCTTTGAAAGGTACAAGGCAAAATAATATCCCTTGAAAGATATTTAAAGAGCTCTTCATAGCATAACAGTTTAATAAAAATAACATGTTTTAAAAGCAGAAACTCATGAATTTCAATGTTAGCAGTTCCACTTACTAGCTATGTATTGTTAAGAAACAATAGACAATTTATAAAGCAACTACCATGTGCTAGGCATTAAAAAATGCTGTGATTAGCTGGGTGCAGTGGCTCACGCCTGTAATCCCAGCTACTCAGGAGGCAGAGACCAGGAAGAACACAGTTTGAGGCCAACCCAGGCAAAAAGTTAATGAGAAACCCCATTTCAACAAACAAGCTGGGTTGATGGTGCATACCTATAATATGCCAGCTTCATGGGAGGCATAGGTAGGATGATCACAGTCCAAGGTTGGCCCAGGCAAAAACACAAGACCCTATCTGAAAGATAACTAAAGCAAAAAGGCTGGAGCACAGCTCCAGTGGGAGAGTGTTTGCTTAGAAAGTGCAAGGTCCTGAGTTCAAACCCTAGTACTGCAAAAAAAAAAAAAAATCCTGCATTCCCCATTTTATGGAGAAAACCTGTGCTCACATTGAACTTATAGGGTTCATGTAACAGTAAGTGTTCATACTACTGCTGTTAATTTAATTCTAACAGTTTAAGTGGGCAATTTTAGAAAATGTTTATTTACATTTTATATCTTTCCTCTACTTTTTTTTTTGTTGTTGTTACTGGGGTTTGAACTCAGGGCCTCATGCTTGCTAGGCAGGTGCTCTACCTCTTGAGCCACTTTGCCAGATCTTTTTGTGTTGGGTTTTTTTTGAGATAGTGTCTCATGAACTATTTCCCTGGGCTGGCCTCCAACCTCGATCCTTCTGATCACTTCCCCTTGAGTAGCTAGGATTACAGGCATGAGCCACCGGCACCCAGCTTTCTACTTTTTCTTACTTTTAAAATTGTAATTCTACTTGGAGAAAAGTAGGTTACAAATAAAAATATGGAAATTTTTCTTTTTTTATAAGTGAAACAAGATAGTCATTCTACTCCTAAGGTCAAAGTACCTATACTGAATTATATATACATTCGGTCCTTAACTCCTTCCAGGAAAACAAGGGACTGACTTGACTCAGCCAGCTAATTCATAAGCCAGTGAAGACATTATAGCTAGTAGAAAGTGCAGCCTTAATGTATTCTAGACTCTAACTCCATGGCATTTACATCTACCAATGCTACAGATAATTTTCTTTATGACTTCCACAGAGCTCTAGCTACCTTTCTTAACTTAGCTTATACAAGTGTTAATACAGTTAAAAGAAATCTGAGATAATGTAACTTAAGAGGATTTCTGCTGTCATCTCACAAACATTTCTCTCCAAAATATTTTAAGAGACTCAACATACATCCAACTCTTCGACAAATGCTGCTAAATCTTCTTTCCAAAGATCTGAAGGAGATTTTCTTTTAAGATCATTGACCTCTCGCCCCTATAATAAAAAAGTAGTATAGTTTAACATCCAATAGTTTTTAAATATATAGAGGGTAAATCAAAATATTTATTTTTGGAAAAAAATTCAAAGATATGAGTAATACTGAAAGTTTCAAGTTATTTAACCCACAAAAGTTCATACTTTTGTATCTCTCTGTTTAATGAGTTCTTCAACTTTTTCTTTAGTAAGAGACCATAGAGACATATTTAAAATATAATTAAAATCAGGGCCTGAAGGAGTTCCTGAATCAGAGGAACTATCATCATGCTGGTTTTGTGTTTCTTCCTCTTCTGCTGCCTGTAAAAAATAATAAACTTTATATTAAATTCCTGTATAATATCAAATTAATGTTTAATTTTATTGAGTACTGAGTTTAAAATTCTACAAATGCTACACACTAATGCTACACCTTCAGGATGGTAGAGTTATTTTAGATTATCTGAAAGATTACCTATATACATGTATTTCCTATTAAAAATAGTTTAAGACTTTTTAAAGATGTACAATAAAATCTTCAGAAGGAATAGTATATTCAGTCCCTATCACCCATGAATTTGATGAAAAGTTAACTGCTTTCCTCATGACTTATCACAAAATAAGAAGATATTATATCTCAAAATTATTAGAGTAAAATGTTTTATCATTGCATGTTGTCTGATATTTATACTGGTGAATGAGCAATTTGAAACCCAAAATAAGTAGCACTTGTGAAGAATGTTTAGGTTGCAATAAATATGGCAAGTTAAGTTTACTCAACTAAGGTTGAATTATTAATTCTTTAAGGCAAGAATGCTCATGTAAGAACTAAGAAATAAGTTCACCCAAGAATTTAAAAGTTGATGAGTTTAAAGTATCAGGGCTTTTCTGAAAATTTATTCCTAAGTTTTTTCACAAAAAAACAACTGCAACAAAAATCCTCTTATGCTATTTTAACATTTCAAGATACAATGAATGCAAAATAATTTTAGATGGTATTGCCTTTAAAAGTTTAAAAATAAAAATAGACATTAAATAAAATTGCATCTAAGTTGGCTATAGACCTCAGATAATTAAAAATGAGTAATTTAACCATGATATTCATCAAGCAAAAAGTTTACAGTTGGTAAACAAATAAAATTAGCTTCACAATTTAAAAAAATTAAGTAAAATAGTGTACATATACAAACTAAAATTTAGTTGTTCTTTAGAAATTAAAGGATAAAAACTGAAATTGCAAAGCAAGATGCTTCATCACATAAACAGAATTATAAATTCAATTAAGCAACATTAGTCAGATAAGGAATGCTGTTGTTGAACTTACAGATGATTAATAACTGGATAACTTATGACAAACTAATCTACAGCCTTTCAACCTTCTTCATGAAGCCATGCGCTGCTATGCAGCACTTAGTTGCTAGGGTACTGTAAGGCATTAGGGTGCCCAGACTTTACAAACCCATTTGATCTAGGCTTTGATGACACCTCAGGAATTGTTAACAAGTAATCTGGGAATACATGTGCATTACATTGCTAACAGGAATATGACTAAGGACACAGAAATCAATAAAAATAAACTGTAAAGTTTTAATGTTATAATTTCATTATGTTTTAGGAAAAAACCTTAATCTTCTAATTAGGTGCTGTACAATCCTAACCCTCTTTTCCAAATATGTATAATAGGGTACTCTTGTAAGAGCAATTTCTGAACCCCCTTCAAGTGTACACATGGCCAAGATGCAATTCCTCTTCTACCAGAAACAGAAGGGCATTCTCAAACATAGATACCTTTATCTTCTATCTAATCTTTTTAAAGATACAGTTTAAACCAACAATTGATACAGAAGGGCGAGTAGTATATAAACCATAAATTTGGAGTTTGAAAATACAATAAAGCACACTGAGAGGAAAACAAAGTGCTGCAGACATCATAATCTAAGTGCTGCCTATCTTGTCCTACCCTATTCTCTTCCACTGCTATACTATGTAATTTATTTTAATTTGGCATTTATTGAAATAAAATTGAAAAAACGATTTAAATAACGTGAACAAAAGCAGTATTTCTATGAAGTTTGATAAAAAAATGAAAACATTATGATTGAGAACTCGTGTGGGGAAGTTTAAAATTTCATTATATGACATAACTATTTTTAAAAGATAGCAATATCGATATCATATGATAAATATCTAAAAAATTAATCATTTCAAGTTTTCTTCCTTTTTCTACATTTCTGTTCTCAATCACAATGTTATATTGTTGCAAGACCTTTTTAAATTTTTCTTTTTATTATATGAAATCTCAGGGGCTGGCAGAATGACTTAAGTGGTAGAGTGCCTGCCTAGCTAGCATGAAGCCCTGAGTTTAAACCCTAGTATCACAAAAAGAAAAAAAATCCTCTACTAATTATGTGATATATCAAGAAACTATTTCTCAAAATTTCAATACCTCATTCATTGAATTAATTACTGCTTATGTTCTGAAACAGACAATTAATGAAACAACAGACTTTTAATATGAAGTTATAGGGTTTAAATTTCTGACCAAAAATCTAAGTCCAGGCAGAATACATACTTGGTGCTCAATAAGTAACTATAATAAAAACATTTGTCTTTCATTTTCCCAGCCTTAACCAAACCCAGATCAAGTGAGCGGTGACCAGATGCCATATTGTGATCATAGGCTGCACACTGTGAAATGATTTTCAGTGCTACCAATCTCATTCCCAGACAGTAGGCATGCACCTCACAAAAACCACCACCACAAATGACATCCTTTTAATGGCAGGCTTAAAAAAGACAAGGCCAAGGAGACTGAGCTACCTTCTTAAACCTGGAGTCATTTCTCCAGGACCTGGTTGAGTCACACTGGCCATGTACTTTGTGGTGGGTGTACACTGCATATTCCTGTACTGTATCTGTTCTGTGGATAAACAGAAGACTTCAGTCTCCAAACAGCCAACTCAGCACCTTTACCAATAGTAAATTTAAAATTTAGGGGTTGGGTTTTTGTTTGTTTTGGAAGTTGTTTTTAAAAGCTTCTCTGAATGTCTTTTTCTGCAAATGATTACCTTTTCTTGTGCTTCTTTCCAGGCTTTCACTGGGTCAGATTCATAACCTCTCTGGACTAACATTTGAATCAAATCTTTCTTTGACCTATTCTCTATGTGAGGGAAAAATAAAGTTAGGATCAAGAAAAGAGATTCAATTTGTATTTGTTTATATTCTACTGATAAAAATGTCTTCTATTAATAAAGTTTTTTTTTCCATTTTAACTAATGTTCAAATTTTTAAAGTTTGCATCTTACCTATAGTAATTTTCCCTTGTATCTTCTCTAAAATGAAACGGGCTTGATTGTTAAGTTTTGTAGATTCTGCTCCCAACATTCCTACAAGCCACTCCTTCCGTAAACCATAGTAACTTAACCGTAAATCAAAGAATTCCTTGGTCTTAAAATAGGTTCTTAAAGTACGTTTAATACCACTTAAGAAAAATGTTTTCTCCCAAACTAAAAATATACATATTCTATCTCTAAGCTTTAAAATGTTAGATTAAAATTTTTCCCTCCTTCAAATACTCAGAAGATGTGTATGTGCCATCCCTTTCATAATTTACTTGTGCTATAACTCAATTATTCAAACTCTCCATCCTCCCTAGCTTTCTACCAGCCTTTCATAACAGATTATGACACTTTGATCTCAGATGCTACGCACTACTACTGGATGTTTTTTCTTGTAATTTATTTTAAATCTAAAAGCTAGCTTGGAATGTAACTTGGGTAACCATACCCACTAACTCTCTGCCTTCCTTTCCAATTATATATAGAAACAAAAACATACAAGTTTACGAAAACAGTTTAGAGCTATGAAGAGATAATTCTCTACAGTTAAAATGCTAATAGAGATGAGCACAGACACATATAAACACTGCAATGCATTCTTTAACTCTTATTGTAGGCATGTACATCCTGTGTGTTCAAGCCAAGATGCACAAGCACAGGGTATGGGATAATAATAGAACAAAGAAATGCACCCCTAGATTCTTCAGAATTTATGCAGGGAAAAGAACATTCAGGCTTACTATAGCCATTTTTATCATGAATCCAAACAAAACAATCCAAAATATGTCATGCAAGAAAGATTAAGTTAATAGTAAAACTAGTAAGTTACCATGGAATTGCAAGTAAGAGTAGTCTGAAGTTTAAAAACTTTATGTAGTCCAGCAGCTTCTGCTTGTGCAAGCTTCTCTTCTGTCATTTTCACCACAAATTTCACAGTTGTATCAGTATGATATTCTTTATAATCAGAAATTAATGCTGGTGTTTTATCTGTTCCATTTAGCATAGGTTCTAAAACCTGTTCCTTGTATACCTGCAGATTTAAAAATAAGTAATTCTTTTTCTGAAACACTGTCATATTCTCTTATCATTAAGTCACACAATCTTTTTAAAAATTCTCAACTCTATTTGCTACTGCTCAATGACTACAGAAGAGATACATGATAATATACTCAGTGGTGAGAAAAGACATACAAGATAATGGCTCTAATCTACTCATACCAAAGAGCAAGATAAAGTTTGAGGGTATAAAGAGGAAGACACCAACTAGAACTGACAGATGACATGCATGCATTTAGATTGGTAACAACTGATACTGACATGAATTTATTGACTATAGTTATAAAGACTCAAACTCTATTTCTTATTCTGGTCATTTCATTTTAAGGTTCATACAAAAATAAACTCTCTAAGAAAAAAATACTGTATTGTTTATATAAGATTAAAGGCTTTTTGGTTAGTATTTGAAAATTCAAAGTACAACATCAATGGAATGTGTAAAAAACAGTATACGGTAATTAACACTATACAGACTTAAAACAATCATGGATCATTCTTACCAGAAAGAATTATTTAATTTACTTCTAACAGCAGCTCACATGATAAAACTAACCTGTGTCCAGGTTCTAACCGGAAGCTCTGTAATTTCTACTGTGTTTCTATCCACCACAAATATTTCACCACTGACTGCATATTGGTTTTGACCAAGTTCTTGGATTGTGCCTTTAAAATTTTTGTAATTTGGAAGCTGCAGAGGAAAAAAATGGAAATGACTTAGAGCCATGACTTTGTTCTTGAGTGCCAATACCACATTTGAATACCCCTTAGTATTTGGTCTACTGATACGGCAGACTAATGTGGCTGAAACTGAATTCCTCATCCTTAACTGTCCCTCTCTAAATTACCCCTCAATCTTGAATTCATCAATCTTGAGTTCATTGCTTCTGTTAACATAATCTGAGCATCTCTCCAATCTCTCAAAATTTTGGCATCATCTTTTGGAGTCTTCCTGGAATAGTACTTCTTCTCAGTCTACTGCCCCTATAATTCCTTCTCCTTTATATTAATATCCTTTAAATTCAATCTCCTTGGAAATTTCACCATCTAGTCCTAAACTAAATAATTTTTACCCAATGATTTGCTCTGCAGAGCAGCTACTGTGCTCCCATATTGTGCTGGAGTATTCTGAATATTAGTTCTACTTGCTATAGTCTAAAAATGGTTTGAGAGTTCCCCAAAGCTCTGTGTATGGAAATCTAATCCCTGTTGTAAAAGCATATAGAGGCTGGAAATTCAACCTGTGTTGTTTAGAGGTAGGGTCCTTTGGGAAACAGTCTTGCCTAGAGTATACAAAGGCCTAGGTCCAACCCCCACTACCACAAAAAGAAAAAAGAATACTCTTATCTTCAAAATAGTCTACCTCAGGTGTTTCATTATATTAACAAAAAATAGTCTAAGACACTATTTACCAACCCTTACATATATTCAGTCTCCTCATTCCATTCATCTATAGAAACTTACTTACCCTTTTCGACCAAATTACAAAAGATTGCTCCATCTTCTAAAACTTGTACTTATGGCCAGGTGCAGTGGCTCACAATTGTGATCCTAGCTACTCAGAAGGCAGATCAGAAGTACTATGGTTCAAGCCCAGCCCCAGAAAAAATTCATGAGACCCCATCTCGACTAATAAAAAGCCAGGACTGTCATTAGGCTGTCAAGAAATGTAAACAGGAGGATTGTGGTCCCAGCTGGCCCAGGCATAAACATGATACCCTATCTCAAAAATAACCAAAAGCAAAAAGGGATGTAGGGGTGTGGCTCAGGTGTAGAGTACCTGTCTAGCAAGCATGAGGCTTTGAGTTTAAAAAAACAAAACAAAACTGTACTTACTGTCACTAAAAAATTAGTTATATAGTACAGGTCAATTCTTCTGGCATGTATTAATGTGCTTTGTCACTAAATTTTAAGTCCTAATGTCTTATCCTGACAAGAGATTAACTTTTGGAAGAAAGGGGCCATAGCTCTTTATCTCACCACTCAGCCCAGTGTCACACAATAAGTATGTACGGATAAGATACTCTAGCCTAATGTTCTAAAATATATATAAAACAGTTTAGATGTAACACTATCATCACAAAAATCAGTTTGATACTTCTGTTAGAAATACTTCAGAAGAAGTACTTAGAAGTATTTCAAGGAAAAAAATATAGATTGTGCTCATAATAATGAGTATTATTTTTTAAAAATAAAAATGAAATAAAATCTAAAACAAATATATCAAAATATTAAGTCTGTTTCTGTACAGTAGGTTTATGGACCATTTTTCTTCTTTGCCTGCTTATATTTTCCACAATGAGCATTATAATTTTTATAATAAGATATACTAGTTGTGTCTTTGAAGACTTGATAGTTTGAGACAAAAAAGAATTACATATAATTTTAACACAAAAGCACTATTGTCTGTATAGCTGAGAGACTTGAAAGCCTGGAATATGGAGTATTTTTAAATTTCAATAAACAATTTCTCCCAATAAAACTTACCGTCAGACTCATTCCTTTATATCTTTTACTATAAGCTAAAACAAGTTACCCCTAGTAAGGTAGAATGAAAACATTCTATTATTTTTCTAAAATGACTGAATTTTGTCCTTTGTCCATTTTCATTTGCTAAATAAACAATATAAGCAATAAATTCTAAAAACTTACCATGGGATGAGGATCCAATCCTTCTAGCATCCGTCTGACATTGTTCACAATTTCCCTCGCATCATAGTTGGGTAGTTTACAAGCCCATCCTGTGCCAATGCCCTCAGCACCATTTATTAAAACCATAGGAATTATGGGAATGTACCACTCAGGCTCTACACGCTGATTATCATCATAAAGGAACTTAAGCAAGTTATCATCCACAGCAGGAAAAAGGAGTCTTGCTAAAGAGCTAACAAAAGGAAAAAGAAGAATATGAAAAAATGGTATGATTTTGAAAAATAAAACTTCATAAAGACTGTGCATTTCAAAAATATCTTCTAGAAAGAATGCATTTTTTATAATTTGAACTACATGTGTTCGCCAATAAAGTTCACCTAACATTAGTACTCAATGCATATTTCTATCAGGCATAAAGCCAGAATAAAATAGACTATTTTATCTACATATTTACTTACTTATGTTCCTTAATACTGTTAAATAACTCTTTAAAAATTTCTTAGTATTCTCAATAAAGCACATAATCCATTTTCAACCTGAAGAATAAAGTTAAATCAGAAAAAAATCTTTATTCATTTGGATTGATTTCAACAAGAATTCATAAAATTAAGATCAACAGATTTCATTCTATTTGTGATCAAATAATTTGGAACATTTACTCTCAGTAGAATAACCAGATAATCACATCCATCCATAGTTCCAATTCTATTAAACATTTAATTGATACCAATAAACTTCAAAGTGAACTAATATACAATATAAGTCTAATAGGAATTGTCACTATGATTCCTCCCCCACTTCCCTATAGCCCGGTATCCTAATAAAAACAAATCCTAATAAAAGTATTCATTAAAAAAACTTAAAATTGAACCCTATACCATAATATCAGCAAATATTTACCTTAACATTGTGAAAATATAACGAGGGCTTGCAGCATCTTTGCCACCATGAAGCCGAGTTCCAAACTGACCAATGGGCTGAAGCAAGTTAATGTTGTTACTGCCCACAAAGTTCTGAGCCAAATTCACAATAGTCATCATCAATGCTTGCTACATAATAGAAGCAGAGAGAATATAACATTAATTTTCTAACTTTTCTATAACTATTTCTTAATTTGTATTAAGATCTACATTCTCAATTCTATTACATTTCCAAAGATCTTTGGAAATTCTTTATTATACATAATTATCATTCTTCATGTCAATGACTACATTTGTCAATTGACTTCAGGCTTAATGCTTACTTCTCCATGGTGATAAGCAGACATTTCAGCAACAGATCCAGCCAACTGAGCGACTTTTACTTCACGTTTATCATTCCTCTTGAAACAGGTAAACAAAACTTTTCGTTGGCCTGGTTTAAAGCCTATTTTTAAAAAGAGGAACCATCTTTTAAAAATACTACTTCAAAATATAGTTGTAATAATTCTTTTTAGTGACAACAATGTGTACATTCAGAAAAAATTCAAAGGTTCAGTTTTTGAAGAATAACTGACTAAAATTGTTACTTGAGATTCTACAACAATATGAGTTCACTAACACATTTTCAATTTTAAAAGTGAAGTACGAAATGAAAGATAACCTTTTAGCCTTAATGAACATCCAGTGGCACCAAACTCCTTTCATAAGCATTTCTAAACACTCTCATGACTAAAATGCCAGCTGTAAATAAAGTACCAGCAAACTACTAATAAGTCTGACAATGATATTAAAGTATCCTATATCATGAAAACTCTTATAAAGGCTTACTTGGTAGTTAAGAATTTAAGTAGGCTTTAGAATCTAATGAGTATGGATAATCATCTCAATTGGGCCATTTACCATGTGACTGAGCAAACTACTAAATCAGTATGTCTCAGTGTCCTCAGAGTTACTGAATAATAATCTTTCTGGCAGAGTTGTCATAAGGATTATGTAAACAAAGCATTCTGTTTCTTCTCATTCTTCTTGCTTTAGGCCAATGAATACAGTTAAGAATCCTCTCACTATACCTAACTATTGTCACTATAATTACAGGGCCCAGAGCATAGAAGAAACAAGATGATAAAATATGGCCACTTTGTTAAAAATTTTATAACATAATCAAAGAGATAAAATTAACATAGGTAAAATAAGAGGTACACAATAACTGATAAAGAAGTTTAGTCATCTGAGACTAATTTAAAATGGAATCGTTAGAGAAGACTTCATAGAAGGGAGGCAACTTTGTGCTAAAAAGTGATGGATGGACAAAATTGCTATTAGCTGAAAATCAAGAAATGCAAAGATCAACAATATGCTAAAGGTTCTAAAATAAAGAAAAAAGTTCTAGATAGGAGATCAACATCTGTTCTAATGAGAAAGAATTTCTAAATTTTGTCAATGTAAATAAGTAAAAGCATTAGATTTTGATCAATGAGGTATAAAGGTGTTTTAAAAATTTAATCCCTGATAGATATTTTAGAAACTATCAAAGTCCCATTTTACTTTTTATTTTAGAAATTCAGTAGTTAGCAAAAGCTTTGAAGACTAGCCTTAAAGTTAATTTTCCCAAGAAACTCAAAAAGATTCTAAAAGTTTCAGATTGAGGAAGATTAAAAACTTCAATGCTATCAAAACATCTCAAAAGCAACATTAAAAGGCTTTAAGTTCCTCTGAATCAGTTCTTCATGTTTTGTAAGATATAAATAAGAACTTTAAAATGTATTTTAAGGATGGCTTGACTACTTGAAATTAAACAATACTCAATAACATAGAAAAATGAAAGATTTCTAAAACAAAAGCTACTTACCATCAACAAGAGATGGTATAGATCTTTCATTGTCTGAGTTTGAGAAAAGAATCAATTCCTTGTTGATAAAATCATTATAAGTCAAATGCTTTGTTGCCGTACCATATAAAAATTGCTAGGAGAAAAGTCATATTAGAATATTGTCATTATTACTATATAAATTTTAGTCTCTTTTTCCCCTAGATCTTTTCTGTGTGTCTGGGGGTGGGGAGGGGTACTGGGGTTTAAACTCAGGGCCTTGTGCTTGCTAGGCAAGTATTCTGCCACTTGAGACATATTCCCAGCCCTTTTCGCTTTAGGTTATGATTTAGGTAAGGTCTCAGGTTTTTTGGCATGAGCTAGCTTGGACAATGATCCTCCTTCCTACTACCTGCTGTGTAACTGGGAGCAGAGATGTGCACCACCATACCCAGCTTATTGATTGAGATGGGTCTTGATAACTTTTTACCCAGGCTGTCCTCAAACCACAATTTTCCTAATCTGCCTCCCGTGTCAGATCACCACTCTTTATGACTAACCTCTGGCAAGCCGTGTAACCTACGCTGTCTCCGATCTTCCATAAAATTTGTTAGCCATTCTTTTCTGTCATCAATTTTCTTCTTACTGAATGCCTGAAAGGATTCAAGTAATGATTTCACATATTAAAAATAAAATTGATTTCATTATAAAATTTAAACGTGTAATTGTAAATTTAACTAATAAGCTTCTGGCAAATTAAGAGGGTTTTTTTCCAATTTTTTTCTTATCAAAAATGCACTTTCTCTTAAAGAAGTATGAAAGCCAGTCATAATCTGTGGAAAAATTAAAATTTCAAGAAATTTACGAAATGAGGACCAGCAGGAAAAATATAGCAGGGAGGGGGTGGCTAACAAAAGACTTCTACTTAATTAACTTAATTACCAAAGTAATGGCAGCATCATCTTCAGGACCAGCATATCTAAACAAAATGCGATGCCTTTCCATATCAGCAAAATATTCCTTTGCTTCTTTAGCTGTACTGGTACCCAATCCTGCACAATTTTAAAAATAAAACTGAGTCACAAATATTAATGGCTGTTCAAAACCATGAAAAAAAAAAGCTTGCAGGCAAAGTTGTAAGCTACGTCAAACTAGCAATTATTTCAACTGATTGATCTTAATAGACAAAGAAAAACAAACCAAATCACATGCCTCCTGACATAAGAATATGCTACCTGTTAAATGTTTTTACCAAACAAATCTAACCCAAATGTAATCACACCTCTGATTTGACTACCAGTTAACAGACAATAAAGAGCGGGGGAATGTATAACATATTAAATGAGATTAACGGGTTACAATAGGCAAAATTTAGAATGTGGGAGAGTGTACTGGGGTTTGAACTTGGCCTCACACTTGATCTACCACTTGAACCAGGCCCCCATCCTTTTTGCTTTTAGCTATTTTTCAGATAGGGTCTCACTTTTGCCACGGGACAGCCTCAGACCATGATCCTCCTACCTATGCCTCCCACATAGCTGAAATCACAGGCATGTAACACCACCTCACAACTCAACTTTCTTAATAAATAAATTGTGAGGAAAAATATGAAAAAAGAAATAACATTAAGATATTTAAGAGACCACTCAACCAAATGTAATGTGTTTGGATCTTCACTTAAAATATAAACATGTAATATAAAATTATGTAAAAATATACATTCCTTATGAATATATTGGAAACTTTAACATTTTATGATGCTATTTACATATTAACACAATCATGAAGAGATTTGAGACTGGTTGGATTTTTAAACATGTTAAAGAAAAAAATGACTATTTTTTTGAAAATACACACTAAAGTACTTATAGATCTTATAGATCTAGAAGTTACTTCAAATTAATATAGGGGTGATGGGAGGTTTAGATGAAACAAGACAGGCCACTAAATTTGGTTGTTAATGTACATGAAGAATTTATTATATTACCCTATTTTTATGTAATTTTCTATATAATTTTGAAGTCTAAAAGAGACAAACTTTCAAAATATTTTATGTTGCTTCCATAAAAATAAATTTATATAAGTAATCACGTCAAAATTTAAATATTTTAAAACACAAACCTTTGTAGTATTTTATTTTCCAGGCTTTCTGGTTTTCTATATGTTTTTTCCACTCGTCAAATTCAGGAATACTGTAGAAGGAAAGTTCTTGCTTATTTTTGCTTGCCTTAAATTAATTAAAAAAAGAAATTAGTGCTTCTGCTACCTTTTAAGACAATAGTTTAAAAATATAATAATGCAAAACAGTACCTTTACAATAGGAGTAATGAACTCTTCAAGAAAACCATGCTTCAAAAGTGATGGCCAATTGTGATGGATGAAATTAATAAGCAAACCTTTTATGTGAGAACCATCTTGATCCTAAATAAATGAAAAGCAAAAAGTCCTATAATAATTTTACAAAATATAACTACTTAAAACTAAATCTTAAAATGTATGAATGAAGCAGAGACAAAATTCCATTCAAATTTTAAAATGGCATTTAACAAAATAATACACATCAGATGACCATAGTAAAGAATTGTTTCTTAAAATGTAAATAAAGAGCATAGCTAGTGATATATGAAATTTTCCTGTCCTTATAAAATACATTGTCATTGTATATGTCTTATAGTTTACCAAGATTTCACTACAAGAATGACTTAAAGATCGAAAAATACATAAAAACATGATTATAATGCCACTTTACTGGGCCATGGAAAAGGAAATCCAGGGAGTACAAGTATTTACAAGTCTTCTCTTGAGAAAAAACTGCAAAAATTCTGCTTAAAACTGTAGCAGCTATTTCCATCAGAGGTTTTTCTCTACAAATGCTTTTACTTAAGAGTACACAAAAGACACAAAGTTGGATGCATAGGAAATTCTTCCTTTTCAATTTTCTAAGCACAGGGTCCTGAATTCAGATCCCAGTACTAAAAAAAAGGAAGGAAGGAACTACCATTTCTAATTCCTTCCTGATTATTGCCCTTTTACTACTCCAGTCCTTATGATTTTTTTTGCATCTCAATTTATGCCAACAGACACTGATATTAACCATTACCTATTGATTAATATTTCCCACTGGCGGATGCACCATTTCATTCCTGCTTACATGTGGGCTTAGTTCCTATAACGCAGCACTATGCTCTGTTCTTCTCATATTTGTTGCATTTAAAAATATTTTTTAATAACTAGTAAGATTGGTAACCAAAAATTAAGTAATGTAAAATGTGCTTCACATAAATGTTTCCATTAAATCATGTGGGTTTTTTTCTTGTTGTTGTACACAATCACATTTCTTTGTCATCTTGGAATAAATCTCATGAAGCAATTATCAAAGAACAATTTGAGCAGTGGGGATGGGCCTCAATGACACAGTACTTGCCTAACACTTATGAGGCCCCGGGTTCAATTCCTAGCTCTGGGGGGAAAAGTGTCTAAAAATACAAATTATAAAAATTGTAAATATGTGATAATTTTCAAACCAACCTGATCAGTCATAATCATAATCTTTCCATAACGTAAGGTTTTCAGAGATTCTGCATCATCATAACTTTTCTTGTATTGTAGACCAACTATTTTAATAATATTGTTTATTTCTGCATTTTCCATGATCTGTGCAAAAAGGAAAAGCAGTGAAAGCTTTTTTTAAAGGTGAGTCCAAATTTACATTTTAAAATTCAACAATTTCAGTAATGTATTAGAAATTTCATAAATACGTATGGGTATATATACAAACCTGTTTATGAGAAGCTTCTCGTACATTAAGAATTTTGCCCCTGAGTGGAAAGACTCCATATCTATCTCTCCCAATCACACCTAATCCAGACACAGCCAGCGATTTGGCAGAGTCTCCCTCTGTTAATATCAGTGTACACTCCAGAGAATGTTTGCCACCTGAGAACAATTAAAAATCACATGCATTTTAGATTACTTATTCTGATGAGAAAAATGAAGCCAGAAAAACTATTGGTCACAGTGACAATAGTGAACAACTGTTAAAATGATCTTTTTTTTTATCATGCTTAGAATAGTTACTATATTTTACTGAATTCCTATTCCCTGAAAACTAGTAATATGTGATGCATGTAGAGATTTCAGTTACACTCTGGACAGAAAAGCATAACCTAGATGAAAATTTTCTATAACTGAATAAATTAAAAGTTAAATCAAAACCTTTAAAAAATAATATCTTACCAGCATCATTAGCATCATCCAATTTGGGAATACCTTTAATTTTACTGTATTTTACTGATGAACACTTCTTATTCAGCTGAGTCTGAGCTTTAAATTTCACCCAATTCAGGATACTTTCTACAATGCCACAATTAGAAGCCTTAAAAAAAAAAAGAAAGAAGAAAAGAAAAGAAAGAGAAGAGCAGTGATACAAATAAGCCAATGTCATATATTTAACTACAGATTTTACTGCAATACCTGGAATCTGGATAGTTTTAAGGTAAAACAATTACAATGATAATAGTAATACATGCTAGTAAATTTTACTCAATTATACTAAAACTGTGTCATCTTAGTAAAACTAACTCAGGCAGCTTTATTCACAATGATCTATTGTACTAAAAGACAAACATGAAAAAAGGGCCACTGCACTACATATGAGACAAATTCTGTTGAAATAAACTTCAGGAGGAATATATATTGCTCTTATTACAAGTTGGTTTTGTTAAAATTGACACAGAAAAAGCTAATTTACCCATGAATTCACTAGCTGGCAAACTCCAGACATTGACATCTCTGATATTCCTTAATACAATATGTGAGTCCTGACTTCTTTATGACAAATAAAAAAATATTAACATGAAGGGAACATTAGGATAAACTTGGGAACTTATGAATAGGCTTTATTCTTTAAATAGGTTGGTAATGAAGATTTCACTATTTCATACTGTTTGTAATTTGCAGTGAGTTAACATGTGACAAGATGTTAGCTCTAAAAGAAATTATGTATCTTCAACTTCAAGTTCTGAAAGTTCTTTTTTTATCATCCTTGGTGATTTGATTTTAGGAATATGAAATAGTTTTCTGGAATATTTAATATATAAAAGAGGTGAACTATGCTGCCAAGTCTAAAATCAAATCACTTCATCATATGAATGAAGAATGGAAATTTGAGGAAGCATTAATATAGGGTGTTTTGTGCTCAGAATTCATTAAGATTAGATTATCAAAGTATTATTTCTATAAGCCTTAAGATAGAACTTAAAGCCAATTTTTGCTTTTGTTTCTGGAAACCTTTGAAAATTCCAACATTAAAATTTGATAAATGGTAATTACACACCATTCTCCCACCAAACTATAAACTTCAAATAGGAGGGGCTCTGGTTTATTTGTCTTTACATTTCCACTCCCAAGCACATTTAAAGATACTTCACAAATGTTTAGCAAATGTTTACTGATGGTACAGTAAGGGATTGTGCCATCAACAAGGGAACTCAATCAAATTTTGATTATATGCAACAGATTACAAGAAGCTAATAACAGCCATAAGGTTCAGTTACAAATCTAAGATTACTTACTTGTATCCTCATCTTATTTTGGAATAATTAAGATAGCCTAAATAATGCATGCAAAATCAAATAAAATGTAAAAAAAAATGTTTCACATTGTATATTTAATACCACAATAAAAAACACGTAAAGTTAAAAATCAGTAGATGAAGTTGAAACGAGAATAGAAGATGAAACCAAGAGACTTGTAAGGACCTGTACATTTGATAGAGGGAAATCTGAATTTTATAATGACCAATGCAAAGCTAAACATAAAGTTAGCTACGTAATTTCCTACTTTAGTTCTTGGCAAAACAATCAACAGTTTTGTGAAACAACAAAGTCAGAATTAAGTATATTAGTTTGTAGTAGAAATATGCCTATATCCATATATACTCATAATTAAGATGATGAGCGAAACTAGTCACAAACAGAATAAATAAATCAAGAAAACTACTAAATCAACTCTCAACAACACTGAAAAATAATGAGTTTTACTCACTGCTTTAAAAAATTTTTCTGACAGTTGGCATTTGGACCCAAAACTTTTGGGCTGCAGAGTCATGTTTTCCTTAGTCTGAGAATCAAAAGTTGGATTTTCAATAAGACAATTAATAAAAACCCATATGTGGTTTTTTACCTGTGGAAAACATACCCAAAAAAGAAAAGTCAACATCAAAACTGGTATTGTTTAGCAATTTAGTAGAATATATGGTGTGTCACTTACTTGAAATGGTTTCACTGATACACCAGCTTTGTTCTTTTTCTTCACTACTTCAATCAGTTTACCAACGACTTGATCTACTACATAATCTACATGCCGTCCGCCCTAAAGAGGAAAGAAAAGTATAGAACCCAAAATGTTGCATAACTAGGTGACCCAGTCACTTGATGATATCACTAAAAGCCTTATTTTCTAGAGGATTAAGAAGTCTCAGAATGACAGACAGAATGACTGGTCACAATGCCAGTAAACCACTTTCTGATTTATTTCCTCACCCAACTTTGGATACCAGTTCCAGTGTGTTTTTCAACACTCACAATCAATTCTCTGAGTCTTTGGACACCAACTAGATGTTCACAATGTAATTCAATTTTTGACACTAACTACTCACAGTTGGCTCAGCCTAATGGGTTAAGGGCTATCCCACAGGACTGCTCCTCCACTTCAGATATCATCCAAGTCCTAGGTCTCCCATATTTCTGTCTAGTAGAAGGTGTTCCCATGACTCATTCAGAGTTGACAATTTGTTAGAATACCTCAGAGAACTCAGGAACACATTTTTACTTTTATAAAAAAAAAAAAAAAACTTGGGCTGGGAACATAGCTCAAGTGATAAAGTACCTGCCTAATAAGCACAAGGCCTCGCATTCAAACCCCAGTACCTTAAACTTAAAAAAAAAGGGAGGGAGGGAGGAAAAGATGGAGAGAGGGAGGGAGGGAGAAGAGGGGAGGGGAAAAGAAGGAAGGGGTGAAAGGAGGGAGGGGGAAGGAGGGGAGGGGAAGGAGGGAAAGAAGGGAGGGAGGGAGGAAGGAAGGAAGGGAGGGAACACAACTCATAAAGAGTCAGGGATGGAGGGGAGGGTGGGAGGGAAAGAGCGGAGGGAAGGGAAGGAGGGGAAGGGAGGAGGGAAGGAAGGAAACAACTCATGAAGAGTCAGGGAGGGACAGAGGGAGGGAGGGGAGGAAGGAGGGAAGGAAGGAAGGAAGGAAGGAAGGAAGGAAGGAAGGAAGGAAGGAAGGAAGGAAGGAAGGAAGGAAGGAAGGAAGGAAGGAAGGAAGGAAGGAAGGAAGGAAGGAAGGAAGGAAGAAAGGAAGGAAGGAAGGAAGGAAGGAAGGAAGGAAGGAAGGAAGGAAGGAAGGAAGGAAGGAAGGAAGGAAGGAAGGAAGGAAGGAAGGAAGGAAGGAAGGAAGGAAGGAAGGAAGGAAGGAAGGAAGGAAGGAAGGAAGGAAGGGAAGGAAGGAAGGAAGGAAGGAAGGAAGGAAGGAAGGAAGGAAGGAAGGAAGGAAGGAAGGAAGGAAGGAAACACAACTCATGAAGAGTCAAATGGAAGAGATGTGTAGCATACAGTGTAAGGTATGGGGAGAAGGTACATGGAGCTTCCCATCCTCCAGGCACACCACCCTCTCAACACTTCAATGTATTCACCAACATGGGATTTCTCTAAACCCTACTATTTAGATGTTATTAATGGACCCTTCATCATGTAGGAATGATCAAATTATAACTCAGTCTCCTGTCTCTCTCTCTCCTCTCCCCTGAGACTGAAGGGCTAGAACTGAAAGGTCCTGGTTTCTAATCAGAGCTTATTCTATCAGGCAACAAGTCCCCATCCTAAAGGTATCTAAGGGTCCACCAAGTTCTACCATATTTAAACAAAGGGCACTCCGATTACCCAGGAAACTCCAAGGAATTTGGGAGCTTTATGTCAGGAACTAAGGATGAAGATCAAATACTACAATAAAAAAAAAGATACTCCTGTCTTCCCTATTACTCAGGAAATTACAAGAATTTTAGAGAGCTCTGTATCAGGAATTGGGGACAAAGACCAAATGTACATTTTTTATTATGCTACACAACTCCACATAACTCCATTTGGCCAACTCTATTATAGAGTAAAAACAATAAAGACCTGGAAGTGAGAATGAAAACTGGTGTGGATGGGAGTAATAGACTCACATGATTTGAGTCTATGGATTGTGGCAACTATTATTAGTTGTCCGTCTAATATACATTCTCCTCTGTTACTAACAAGCACAAATTGTTTTTAACTGGCAACATACCCATTTTAAAAGATTCACAAATTTTTACTCTTTTGTAGCTAGGGACAGCCCATTTGTCTTAGTTGTAGTTAATGAGATGCTAGCAAAGAGCTATTATATTGTGGATTAAAAGAATGAGGATTTGGCTCAACTCCATTTTCCTTTCCCTAGGATTTGGGAATGAGACATAGGGGTGCAGTAGGTATTTGAAAGATGTGAGAAAGAAACAACATACTAAAGGTAGCAGAAAAGAAAGCCAGCAAGAACAAGGTCCCTGATGGCATTATGGTGTGAGTAGCAGCCCAAGACTGGGGAAAAAAATAAAAACCGTTACATGTTTCAGTCACTGTCTAATAAAGTTTCTATTATACATAAAAATGCAATCATAACTGAGAATTTCTGTTGACTAGAAAAAGTGATGCTAGATTATAGAAAACATTAAACATTAAGAGAAGTTACAGCTTGAATAAGAATGATAAATCATTGCTTTAAACTATTCTACGATCTAGCATTTTATTATAGTTAGTGAATAAATGCTTTTGGTTTTTGTTTGTTTGATTTTTGCAGTCCTGGAGATTGAACCCAGGACCTCACACATGCTAGGCAAGCACTCTACACCTGAGCTAAATTTCTACATTTCCAGCCCAATAAATGCTTTTAGGTGAGAAGAATGTCTTTTGATTTTGAAATACAAAGCCTACAGAAGAGGGTTCAAACTCCTTAGAATATCAGATAACATGTTCCACAATCTGACCCCAAAAGAGATTCATTTCCTATTATTCTATACTACATCCCCAACTCAGAACACAGGATAGGGTATCTGCTATCATTATAAATTTCATAAAAAATGTATGACTACAAACACTAAGAATATAAACTTATTTTTCAATGGATGTTTAAATAAATTGTAATATAGCTATTGCACAGAAAATAAGTTTCATTTTTCTAAGTCAATTTTAATTTAACAACAGATTTTGGCATGGGAGTGTGGCTCAAATAGTAGAATGCCTGCCTAACAAGCACAAGGTCCTGAGCTCAAACTCAGATTTTTAAAAATGTACTCCTGTTGTTTATTTTTTATTTACTTTTGATGGTACTGGGGTTTGAACTCAGGGCCTCACACTTACTAGGCAGGCACTTTTACTGCTTGAGCCACTCTACCAGCCCTATTTTGTTGTTTTAAATAAAGCATTGCTTGCCAGTCGCCTGGAAACAATGAATTTGCTACTTACTTTTGTAGTTGCAATACTATTTACAAAGCTGATTTGCTGGAATCCTTTTTCACTCAATGTGAGACAAACATCCCACCTTTCATTTGCAAGTTCATGAATAACTTTCAGGGCCACCCCAGTTTCATCCAATTTGTCCTTCACATAAAGGTCTACGTAACTGCGAAATCCATTTACCTATTAATTTAAAAAAATGAATAAACAATCATATACTGGCAGCACAAATAGGCAAATGACATTAGGTACTTCTCATATTTCTATCTCCTCTCATTTACTACAGGTCTTACCCCAGATCCAAACCTTCATGCCAGAATCTTCTACCTCTTGATCCCTGTTCTTTAAAAAATAATTCGTTTCTGTGTATACGTGATAAAGAAGGGGTAGCTATACAGGTAAATTATAAAAATTATCAAAAATTTGTTTATAAATGACAAAGTGAACTTCTGTGAACTTCTAAGTTCAGAGATGTACATGATTGAAATAAAAGAAATTCCTATCTGAAGGGCAGACTGCGGGAAGTTCCCGTATTCCCCAAAGATGGCAATTAGTCAGAGAAGGAAACACCCTGTCTCCTTCCCAAGAGAACCTGTTCCTGTCAAAATCTGCGCTAGAACATACTCTTCCCACTGACAACAAAAAATTATAAAACCTGACATCCAAAACAACTTGGAGGACTACCAAATTCCAGGTCCTGCAGCCTTTTCTCTCACTTCTCTGGAAATAAAACTCCTTTGATCTTTGCTTGTGTTCCTGCCTTTGAATTCTCTCCAAGAGCGGAACAAGGACCCTCACCACCCGAAAATTCCAGCGTATCATCTTGGCAAACATGAAGGGACCCCTCCTCTTCATCTGAGGACTGTACAGGTTGTGCCAAACTTGAGGGGACTGCCTAGGAAGTGGCCGTGATTATCCAGCACTCTGGTGGATTCTGCCCTCCAGGAGAGCCACTCCTACCACAGTTTAGCTATGGTGGAACTCTCAGGACGTCTCTCTCTCTCTCTCTCTCTCTCTCTGTCTCTCTCTTATTAATAATTGGAAAATGGCTAGTTATACAACGTTATAAAATAAATAAGCGAAGACTTGGTCAAGGTCATGCCAGTAAGGGTGGTCGCAAATCGGAAAGACCCAAATGTCTTCCCCACAACCCTGGCCATGGGTGGTAGCAGCAGAAGGAGATGGGAGAAAGGGGCGCCTTCTCCCCAAAGGAGTATGGTTCCCAGTAGGGGAACAAGGTTTCTGATCCTGGGGACACCTACGCACAAGATCCTCCTTAGAATGACCAGTTTCCCTTCTCCCTCTTTTAGATGGGAGAACAACATTCTAAATTCTCAAAGGATCTCACCCTCACTTGCTTATTAAGGCATTGGAAAAATCTTAACCCTGGGAGCCTAAGGAAAAATTCTCATTTTCTGCTAAACCCAGGCTTGGCCTAAATATCCTTTGGGAGATCAGGAGTGCTGGCCAGAAGGGGAAAGCATTGACTAGAACACCATCTTACAACTTGACTTGTTCTATGGAAAAAAAAGGAGGGGAAAACCTAAACTTTGTAGAAAACGTTATATAGATGTGGTATCTATCATTAGATACCTTGCAGGCTTTAGCTCCTGAAAAAAAAAACCTTAAAAAAAATGGGAAAGAGGAAATGGCAGTTATAAGGTAATACAAAAACCCAGGGTGTTTATATTGGAGATCTCTATGGTAAACTGCTTAAGCTTTCTACTTAAAAATATGTAGACATCTTGAGATGGTTCTTATCGTAGAGTTAATGTAAAAAAAATTGTTACTTCTACTCTGTTCTACTGCTTTTAAAAAACAACAGTTTTCAAACTTATTTCAACCAGGTCTCACTAAGATTCAGACATTCAGAGGTTAACATTCCAGCTCAGAGCAAAAAAAAAAGGTGCCATTTTTTAAACCCTGGCCACAGCCTGCAGCAGAAATCTTAGAATTTGGGTAGTTAAAGAAATAACCTTAGCCTGTTTCACTCTGTTGTAAATAAAATCTGGGATTTAATCTTCTCTTATAACACACGGGCCTAGCAACAACTGGGCTTTCTATAAATTGTTTTTATAAAAAAATAATCATTTTAAGGTTGCTTTCTTTCTGGTTGTTTTCAGGCAAATATAATGCTCTAAATTAAAAGGTCTTAGGAGTTATTTTCAACAAGTAACAAAGAAATCTAAAAAGTATTAAGGATATGATTTTTAACAATAACAGGTTAAAGAAAAAATGCTTTTAGATTAAAAAAAAAGATTACATAAGAAAAATTTTGTCCTCAAAATTGTCTCAAAATGAAAAAAAAACAGGATAAGGACAAGCTCCCCAGGGTACAGAGTAAGTTGTCATAAAAAGATGGAGCTTATAAATGCTTATATAAGTGACTAGGTTGACTAAAATCTAAGAGTTACATTAAAATTTTATGAGGTCAAAATTTGATGTATCAATGTTAAACTAAAACTTAATTCTCTAAGCTCATAACAACAAGGCTGTCTTAAAAATATTGTTCTGTTCTTGATAACATTTACAAAAATACTATCTTAAATAAGAGGTTTTTGTTCTATTCAGATAACTGTCAAGGATCTTTGGTGCTCCAAGAATTTATCAAGACAATCAAGTAGAAAAATAAAAGTTTATAAGGACTTAGAAAAGTAACAGGCAGCTAAACACGGGGAGTGCTACTGCACTAACATGTAGATTGGGACGAATCTACTTATGTAAAGCAAAATAAAAACAAAACCAAAGTACACCCTCCAGACAGGATAAAAAGGGACTTAAAAAAGAACACTATATGGAAATCTTGAGACTTCAAGTCTTTTACTAGAGTCAATACTTAGTTCTAAAAAACAAAAAAAACAAATTGGGTTGTGTGTCATTAACTCTCAAACACTGGGCTATGCATGGGCTATGCATTATCAACTCCTTAAACATATCAGGTGAAGAAATTGGCCTGGTATGGTCAGATTGAGCCTGTTAATTTTGGGGGACTCCACTGGCTACAGGTCAGCAGAACCCTTCTGTATGTCATAAGCCATCCCTTAATGTCAGCCATCAGGTTTCCTAACTCTACACTTAGTCCTCATAATATTTACTTGTGTTCTCTGCTGATTTTTGTAAGGGTTTTGACACTGAAATAACTGAGTCATAACTAAATAAAAATTCATTTAAGAGTTGGTTTATGTAAAATCTTCTAGATGACCTCATAATTGTGGTTAAACAACTATTGTCTTAGGTGATTTTAATGCAGTTAGTACCCTGTATGTGCTATGATTAGGCTATTTGGGGTCACTGACACTGCCCCCTCAACTAATTGGAAATCTAAGGTTTTACTCCAAGGGTAACAACTAATATGTATGTATAACCTCTAGAGAGCTGTGATGCTGTTGCTGGCTCCTATATAGTAAATATATTTGTATTTTCCAAGTATATCAGGCCTCCTAAAATACAAAATTTAGATAAACACTGTAACAAAAAGTTAATGGTACGATATACTGTTCTGTTAGTAACTAAATTGTCCATTAAAATTGTAACCATGGCACTTTAAGTTTTTGTCATTATAGTTCTGATCCTTCTGGGACATTTACAGTCAAGTCCATAAAAAAAGACTCTAACAAGTACCCGTCAATCAGTTAGCTTTCTAAATATCTACTTTGTTAGATTTTGTTTTGTATTGTTGTTATCTTGAAGCACATTGCCCAAGAGCAACTCCTTCTAAACCTCTTTGTTGCTTAAGTTTGGCCAGAAGGGTCTAGTTGGCACTGACTCTCACCTGACCTGCTTGTTGCTTCCCCTACAACGTGGGATACTTAAAAAGAAAGCTAATCCTCACAAGGAAGGATCAAAATGACCAATTAGAAAAACCTTCAGACTGCTCGGAGACAAACAGTTTGGAGACAAGGGGAGAATGCTGTCAATGCTCAAATGGAGTCAGTCGTGCCAGACCTCTCAAAAAATTAATCAAAGCCGAGAGGGTTGAGAAGTTGTTATGCATGTGTGGCTGTCTGGCACTAAAGCCCTTCTAGGCACAAACTCGTATTTTTGGCCAGGGCCTTCTACTGTCATAGAGACAAAGTGAATATTTCTACTGCTCCAGGCATGTCCTATGGTACTTAAAGGTGGTGTTTTTAGTTTTGGACTTAAACAATGGGTTTTTCTTAGACTCATAGACCACAGCCATAAATTTTCTTTTGGGTGAACAGGGAGGACTATGTATAGTCACCAATACTTCCTGTTATACATATAAATACTTCAGGCATTGTACAGAAACGTACAAACAACATTCTCCAACAGGCTAAGTGGCTCCAGCAACAGTCCCTTGAAACTTAGGTATCCACACAGGTATGGGATCAAATAAAATGCTGGCTCCCTTTGGGTCCTGTAGTTGCCATTATTTTCTTACTTGTGTTTGGACCTTGCGCTCTAAACTTACTTGTAAAGTTTGATTCCCCTCCCTCAGCATCCATCAAACTACAGATGCTGTTGGAAATAAAAACAACCTATCTTGGTCCCCTCGATAACCCCTCTCATGGTCAGCCCCGATGCCTCAGGCCCCTTTGCTGCCCCCTTTCAGCAGGAAGTAGTCATTAAATAGACCTTGTTGTCCCTGTTCCTAATGCTAGTTAAGGTGATCATTAAGAGAGGGGACATGGCAGACTGTGGGAGGTCCACATATTCCCCGAAGATGGTGATTAGCCAGGGAAGGAAACACCCCATCTCCTTCCCAAGAGACACCTGTTGGCACCAAAATTTTTGTGCTAAAACATATTCTTCCCACTGGCAACAAAAAACTATAAAACCTGATATCCAACCCAAGTCAGGGGACTACCAGATTCCAAGTCCCGACACCCACCTCTCCACGCAGCCTTTTCTTTCACGTCTCTGTAAATAAAATTCCTTTGATCTTTGCTTGCATTCCTACCTTTGACTTCTATCCAAGCACAGAACAAGGACCCTCACCACCTGAAAATTCCAGTGTATCACTATCCTCACAAGAAAACAACTGATCAAACAAATCAATGATTTTTTTCTGGACTCATCAAAGAGTTGAGATACTGGCCATCCTGAAATCTGAAAAGAGACATGTGTCTGTAGAAAACCTTTAGAACCTAAGCATTTGTTTATTTGGGGCAGAAGATGACTAAACCAGCAGAAACCTTAAATAAGAAGTTTAACCAAACAGGAACAGCAAGTGTGGAAAGCTCCTATGGGCTGTAGCCATAAGGAGTTCTACTTAGCAGGTTTTCTCTCTAGAAATCCTACCAAGTTCTCATAGGAAAGTTCAGAAACAATCAAGAGAAAGAATCCCCCAGGATGCTGGCTAGGGGAGGAGAACAGCAGCCACTGGAAAATGTACCCAGAGCCTATTTCCTTATCTGCAGGACAAGGGCATTAAGGACCTAGACTGAGAACACTGGTGATAAGTGCTACAGCTAGGGAAAAAGAATAAAGAGCAGAAGGAAAATCCCTACCTATGGAAGATGGGCATAAATACTTCTGAAGCCAAACACATGAAATACAAGTTCACTGTGCATTCCAAAGATTGCGATTTAGTCAGACATTAGCGAACACTTCCCTAACAATTTACCCCATGCTAACAACAGAGTTTTGGTGGGAAGAGCTGTAAGAGAAACCATCACTGAGGGGCAGTTGAAAGAGAAAAAACAAAACCAAGAGGAAATAAAAAACAAGAAAGATCTGGAAGACCCTGATACCCACAGCAGAAAGGATAAAACTTCAAAAGCAAGCACAGGGCACTGGTGGCTCAAATTAGTGCTTGGGGAGGCTGAGATTGGGAGGATCATGGTTCAAGGCCAGCCCGGAGAAAATAGTTTGCGAGACCTCATCTCCAAAGTAACCAGAGCAAAATGGACTGGAGGTGTGACTCAACTGATAGAGCACCGGCTTTGCAAGCATGGAGCCATGAGTTCAAACCTTAGTCTCAGAAATAATGGTTTCAAAATTAGTGACAGACACTGAATAACAGATCCAAGAAGCTCAAAGAACACCCAAATATATAAATAAAAACAAAAAACACCAGACACATAAGCATATCATATTCAAAAAACACAAATAGAAAAAAATCCTCAAAGCAACCAAAGAAAAAAGAAACACCTTACCAAAATAGACTTACATAGCAAACTTCTAATCATAAACCATAAAAGCAAGAACACAATGGAGAGATACCTTATAGTACTGAAAGAAAACCACTGTCAACTTACAATTTCACACCCATTGAAAATGTCCTTTAAAAGTGAAAGAAAAAATAAGGACCTTCTTAAGACAAAAACTGAGGGAGTTCATTGCCAGCTGTTTTACACAAAATGTTAAGGGAAAATGTTCATGCAGAAGGAATATAATTAAGATCAAAAACTGTAATCAGGCTTAGTAGTTCATGTCTATGGTTGCTGCTACTTGGTAGGCTGAGGCAGGAAGATTGCCTGAACCCAGGAATTCCAGGCAAGCCTGGGCAACAAAGCAAATGGATAAATAAATAAATAAACAAACACATACACATCTCAGAAACTGAGATCTATACCAAAAAATGAGGAACAATGGAAAGGGAATAAATGTAAAATATAATCTTTATTGTATTTTTAATAGCTCTAAAAGAAAACTAGCTGCTTAAAGCAATAACAATAATGTCACTATTTTAAATCTTTTTCTGTCATTACTTTTTTTTTTGAGACAAGATCTCACTATGTAGCCCAGGCTGGCCTTTGGCTTGAGCCTCTTGCCTCAGCCTCACACATGCTGGGATTACAGGTATTGGCCACCATATGCCAATGACTGGCTTGCCGGTCATTACTTTTTCAAGTATTTTTTCTGCCTCATTTTCTTTCTTCTCTGTCTGGTGTTTATAACCTATGTAAAAGTAAAATGTACAGAGTGAGCAACAGGCTCATTCCTTAAAGTCCTTTTGCTATACATGAAGTATTATTTGAAGGTGAATTCAAACCATTTAGAAAAGTGTATTCATTGTAAATCCTATGGATACTACTAAGATTTTTTAAAGTATAAATAACAGAAGACAAAATATATTTAGTTTTTAAATGCTCAATTAAAATCAAAGAAGACAGAATAAGACTAAGGAACAAAGAACATATACAATGGGATAGAAATTACCTATCAAGGTGATGGATTTTATTCCAAATAAATCAATAATAACTTTAAATGTTAGTCATCTAAACATACCAGTTAAAAGAATTACCAAATTAGTTTTAGAAATCAAGATACAACTATATCCTGTCTATAAAATAACACTGTATTTAAATTATTTTAGAAGATACTTACAGGCAGTTTCTTTCCATTAAACATGACCTTGACTCCTTTACATGAACCAGCCAAATCATATGCTCTTCTAGTCATGAGGGCCACAATATCTTTGTCAAGTTTTTCCATCTTAAATTTAGCCAGATCTGGTTGGAATGTTATGCATGTATAATCTTCACCATCAAAATGTTTAATTTTGGCTTCAGAAGTCTTCATCATATTATTCATCCATGTCTTTAAAAGAAACAATATTAAAGTTATTTCTATAATGCTTTCTAGGTTTCATAACACATAAAGACAAAGTTCATGAAATATATATTTACCAAAACTATATATGTACATTTTTCCCAACCTCACAACAAACAAACAAACAAATCCTTGAAACTGTTAAAATTAAAGATGAGGACTGGAGACACAGCTCAAGTGATAGAGCACCTACTTAGTAAGTGAGGGACCCTGAGTGAAAAACCCCAGTTCCACCATTAAAAAAAAAAAAAAAAAAAGATGAAAAACTGTAAGTATTACTATTATTACAACTTCATGTTGAAAATAAACTGTACAACTTTATATGTTGGCAGTAAAATAAAATCCAACATGTCATACAGATTTTTACAAAAATAAACAGGCAAGATTCATTTTTCTGACTAAATTATTTCAGCTTACATAAAATTTCAAACTATTGTTTCAAAGGACTGCCAGATATTTTAAATATGAATTCAATGATTCAATAGGGAAGTTTTTAAGCACGGTAAGTGGCTGTATTTAAATACATGTATGATGTGTAGGACTTTTTCACTAATCCTGGGCAAAATTAAAGAAGTCTATTAAATAAAGCATTCTGCCTTAAAGGAATGGTAAAGAGCTTTATACAAAACCCCAAGTATTCTGATATGAATTTGGTACAATGCTTAAAAAAAAGAAAGAAAAGGTCATGTAGGTTATTACTGCAATTTATCTAAAGTTTATTATCTAAACAAAATGATAAAACGTTATTTTTAAAAGAGAAATAGACATGTTTCTATCATACCTGCTTAAAACTATGTTTGTATTCTTTGCAAGCTGTTTCAACTGTAAACTTTGTACTAAAAATATTACAAAGTTTTGCACCATAACCATTGCGGCCACCTATAAAACAAATTAAATATGATTTAGTAAAATGATTTTAGAGGAACCTGGGCAAATCTCCTGCAAAACAGTTCTATTATGTTATCAATCACTGATTGGATATTTCTGAGTATACTGGGGGTTTTTTCATTTAAAGAAAAATATAATTAAAATTTAGCATATGGAATTTAACATATGGATTAGTATAATTAAAACAGATATTTGTAGATTATTTTCACAATTTCAAAAAAATAAGCTTCATATCTTATGACACAGTATGTCTATGTATGAAATCTATACTTTCTATCAAAGTCATTCTCTTAAAAGAAACTATTAACTTACTTGGGCAACAGTAAGTTTTCCAAAACACTTTCAACTTTAGAGAGTCGATTTTCAATCTTGACCCACTTAAGGAAACAGTTTAAAAGTAATTTAATACCATAAGACAAGTGCATATGTAATAACAAGCTTATAATATATGCACACACACATGTATATTTACATACATGTGTGTGTGTGTGTGTGTATATATATATATGTATGTATCACAGTAGTATTATTGAACTCAAATTCAACCTGTCAGCCAGAGTTCCAACCGTCCCAATCTAAAACTCAGTGTATGATTAGGCTTCTAAAATGTTGCTGTCAGACTTATGGAATTAAAACAATGTTTGTATGTGAGGTTTTTATAAATGTTAATTCTGAAAAGGACTTTCTCACAACAAAACTACACAGGTTTCCTTCTTGTGATATTTTAAGTAAAAATAGGAAGTTAGAGATTTTATGTTAAGAAAATAGTATTTTTCAGTCAAAATTCAGATTTTACCTGTAACTTTTTTCTCATCATCATCATAGTTACTGGATGTTAAGAGCTGTCCAAAAATTAAAGCAGGAACATAAACTTTCTCTACTTTGTGTTCTACCACTGGAATGCCCTTTCCATTATTCCAAATGCTTATGATGTTAGATTCACTGTAAATAAATACAAGCAGAATTTAGAGCTTAAAATTAAACATACATTAATTTTCAATGAAAATGTAACCCAGAATAAATCAGAATGTTTGCAAGCAAGATACCAGTCATTATCGATTAGAAGACATGTCTTAGTTTTCTTGCTAAGGCCACACATTTCAATCCCTGGGTCATAACTCAAATTAGGATCACTAAGATCTGCAAGGTAATACTACAAAATTTCTAAGAAGAAATTCTTTTCAACCTCTCACAAAAGAGTAAAAGGAGTAACACTTTTACGAGAAGTCAGCTATAATTTCAGTTTCTTTTCATATGCATTAGACATGATCTTCCTGCTTGATTCTATCAGTATTGCCATTACCATCTTCATTGCCTAAATAACCGTTGCAGCGGTATATATGGAAAAGGGACAAATAAACCAGGCATGTGATGCATGGCTGTAATCCCAGCACTTGGGAGGCTGAGGCAGGAGGATAGCAAGTTCCAGGCCAGTCTGGGTCACGTAGCAAACACACATTCACATACACACAGATACACAAAAGGGCAAATAGCCTGAAACATTATCCTATTCTCGACCAAAATGTTTGACATTATTTGTGTCATGATGATCACTGTCATAAATTTATTTTAATTATCTTAAAATACACAGATTTACCTACTTAGGTCTTTTGGGTTTTCTCTCATAAAACCATCAATCAGTCTTAATCCTGAATGGTATATGGGATAAAGGCTCCTGTAGGTCACAGCAACTTTACATGAGCAGTAGGCTGGATGAAAATTTTTACTTACCATATTGTTTTGAGTAGTAGGATACCTCTACTCATGTAATAGTCAAATTTGCAAAGAGACACAGCTTTATAACTAACACTGAGAACTGGCTTTGAAAAGCAATCATTTGCAAATCTGATTCACAATTATTCTTAGCCACAGTTTACTTACACATATCTTAATCTCTCCAGTTATTAGAAGTAGTCATCATACTAAAATATTAAGTTATAAAAAAACAAAATGAAAAATCAATGATTCATAAGTTTAAAAAAAAGAAGATAGGGCTGGAGATGTGGCTCAAGTAGTAGAGTGCTAGACTAGCAAACACAAAATACTGAGTTCAAACCCAGTACTGGAAAAAAAAAAAAAAGTAAAATGAAATTTTTAACACATCACCTTCCTTCCCCAAATCAGCAAACTTTTCCTTTCTCTTACTATCCAACAGTATCATTACCTCTAGTCTCAAATTTTGGTGTCTTTTTTGATTCATATCTCCTGTTCATTATTTAGAATTATGAGTCCCATAAAGGCTTATTAATTTGTCTTATAAGATTCATTTCATATCTCTATCAATCCTTTCTTCATTCTAAATGCCAACATATGAATCCAGATAAAGCTATTATGACCTTAAACACTGATTAGTGCAATCGTCTCCTGTCTACTGCACTTAATTTTAAAAACAATATGGTAAGTTACTGCATTTGCACAGCTATATTAAGCTTTCATAATACCATTTTTTGCTCTGGAACACAGAAGTGGTTCCACATTTTCAATAAAATCAAGCCTAAAAGTCCTCTATTAAAGGCCTATTATCTTTATTGTATTATATGTATGTATGTAGCTTAATTGCATTATAGCTACATACAACTGCCACTATCCTGCAGGGTGCATTCTATTTTTCCTTCAGTTCGGTTCTATTACTTGTCCATGTTCATTCCCAAGTCTTCCGTTTCTTCATGCATTGGTCTTTGCCTTGCTTCTAATGTCTTTTTCCTCTTTCCTTTGTCTAGCCAAACCTTACTCAAACATCGAGGGTCAATTTATGACTTCAGTTCTCCATTACATCTTTCATAATGTTTTCTAATCCTCTGTATATTAAAACTAGAAAAAAACCTAAATTATTTACTGTGGACTTCATAAGATAATTAGTTTTTTCTCACTAGTAGATAAACAATCTCTACAGAACACAAAACTGAACAGTTAAGTACATAACTGTCTATTGTTCTTTCACCTGGGCATCCAAATTCCAGAAGTAAAATAGTGGACCTCACAAAAAAAGACCATGTCCTGCACTACTTTTTTAGATTTCCATATAGGTCTGGCTTGGGCTTAAAACTTACCATTTATTAAGCACCTATTTGATACAAGAAACTTAAGGAGATAGAAAACTAATAGAGAAGAATTATGAAGCAAACAGGCAAGAAATGGAAAATTACAGATCTTAAACATCTCAGAATGATAAAAAAGGTAATATATTTGTGAAAATACCTTAAGAAATGGTTTACCTATTGTACTATAATCAAGATAAGCATTTGGTAAATTCATTACCTCTATCAAAGTTTCGAAAATATAAGGCTTGGCATCTCCTTTATTCATTAAGTCTATGTGAGTATGAATTAGAATTTTCCATGACAGTAACTTTTCTATTAAAAATTTTCAATCATATCACTTCTGAGACATAGTATTTATTCCTGTTTTCCTTAAATAATTATTTAAATTCTATCCCTGTATCATTTGCTCCATCAATAATCTTCACAGTGCTAGGAGCATGGCTCAAGAGGTAGAGCACTTATTTAACAAGTACCAGGTCCTGAATTCAATCCCCATGCTAAAAGAAAATGAAATATAAAATTAAAAAAAGAAATAATAGGAATATAAATATGTTGGAATAGGCTCAAATAAAGTTTCAAAAATAATTAAAGCTAAAAAGAAATGTTGAAAACAATCTAAACATTCAATATTCATCAACTGGAAAGAAGTTAAATATATTATGCCATATGAACCCAACAAAATGTTTGGCAATAATTAAAAAGAATCAAGTTCCAAGATACTTGGGAGGCAGAGATCAGGAGGATGAAAGTTTGAGGTCACCCCAGGCAAAAAGTTAGTGAGACCCCATCATAACCAATAAGCTGGGTGTGGTGGCACACCTGTCATCTGAGGTATGCAGAAGGTATAAACTGGAGGATCATGTCCTAGGCCAGCCTAGGGCAGAAACACAAGGACCTATTTGGACTGAAGCAAAAATGACTGGAAGGCATGGCTCAAGGTAGTAGAGTGCCTGCCTAGCAAGCATAGGCTCTGAATTCAAACCCTGGTACTGTCAAGAAAAAAAATAGAATTAAGTTCAATATACCTTAATAAGGACCTATGTAAAGTTTAAGGACAGCATCCACAACATGTTGAATTAAAAACAGAAAGATGAGATAGTATATGTATTATGACCCTATTTTTTAAAAAAAATGTATTGTACATATATTTTACCACATGCAAGTATTATTATTTGAAATCTATAGTTTTAAGATTTTAGCTCAAAATAAGTAAGAATACTTAGGCTAAGGGAACAGTTAGAAGTCTGGATAATGTCCACATAATGTGTTTGATTTTGGTGCTGTGGACCAAACCTTAGGGTATCACATATACTAAGCATACACTCACCATAGAGCTATATCCCCTGCCCTGTTTGTTTGGTTTTTAATCAGACAGATGCCACCAAATAAATTATTTCAATACTAACTAACCACTATTCTATATTATTTAATATTATTTAATGAACTTTAAACTCCATATAAGAAGTTGCTCCAAATTCTCAAGGACTGTCCAAATTATTCATGGCATGCCTTGCTAACCTGTATCTAAGCATTCTACAAACATGACTTTTTACTTCATTTCATAGAATATTTTGGGGGGGAAAAAGACAAGGGCTAACTGAACAGTGTAACTACTAATATTTAACCTCTCCTTCACATAAGATATTTATATACTGTATATATATATTTGTTTGTTTTCTTTAAATAAAAAAAGTAAGGGACCATTGGTATAGCTCAGTGGTAGAATGCTTGCCAGCATGAAACAGGCCCTGAGTTTGATCCCCAGCAATACATACACACATACACAGAAATAAAGAATAAAAGAAGAGGTGTCAAAAAAAAAGATATTTATATACATAAAATTTAAAACTTCTATCTAAAAATATTAAAATAAATGGATAGCAAAATGGCTTGTCATAAAAAAAGGGTGAAACAGCACAACACTGTATCTTCCCATTTGAACCCTGCATTAAAATGACTTCTTAAATCAGAAACCTAACTAAGCAAAAGCTACAAGTGTGAAACAAAATTCATTTTAATAAAAATTAACACTAATTCTGTAGCATATGTAGTAAAAATAAAGAAAGAATGACTTTATGGGACAAAATTCACAAAAGTCAAAATGTTACAGTTAAAATTCAAAAATAAAACATATGCAACTTCTCACACAATGTTTGCCCAACATTTTAAATATATATAAATTAAAATTTAAAATTGCCCAATTTTAAATATATATAAAATTCAGGGCAAGGAAAATCTTGATCACTTCTCATCAATGATTTGCAAACAACAAGAGAAAAAGAAAGAAAGGAGAGGTGAAAATATGCCATATCTGTATCTCCCTTCTTCTCTTTGGAATAGTTAAGAATGTTTTGTTTTACACTGAAATAAAAGAATTTTCTACCAGAGGTAGTTAAAATTAAATGGAGATTAACAAGAAAAAAGAACTTGTGTATCATTACCATTAAAAGAAAAGCTTGTTGATTAAGAGTTAAAAAGAGAGTGATAAAGACAACAGTTACATAGAATTACTCTTTGTACAGAAAATGTAATAAATTGAGAAACAAACTACCAAGTACCCTTCTATAGTGTATAGAGCTGCATTATAACTCCCTTCTTTTTCATTGTTATGAGATTCTATGAGCCATTTTTTAAATTCAATATTACTGGATTAATGTGGTTAGACTAATAGTGATAAACGAACTAAACAACTACTTCCACCAAGAATGTATTTAAGGACAGCGCTGCTTCTTCCTTAGTTTTCCATCAGAATCTTTCAATTCTCAATTTGTACAAGCTTAAATACCAGATATTCACTATCTATTACTCTTTATTAGCTCTCTAAAACATAACTGACAATTTCCTAAGTAAGGAAGAAAAGCAATCTTAACAGCTAAAATTTCCTTAAAACGGTCTTAAACTTCAATACAAGCTTTAACTCAAACATATCCTGTACACCTAACTATACCAATTCTCAAGAATGTATTTATAACAAAATGATCCAAATAAAAACAGTTAAGAGAAAGAAAAATCAAGAACTTCAGTAGCATAGTTATGTGACAATATTTTCATGTAAGACAGTTATTTTCATGGTATAATCAAATATAAATTATAGTTTTATTATACCACTAATCTTAACCATGTCATCTGACATTGGCAGTAGGACTATACCTAAGTTATTAAACTTTTATGGTTATTAGAGATAAATCTTAAAAGTTATGCTAACTTACTAATGAAATTAAAAAGGATGACTGCAAAATTTTATGAAAGGCCCACGGGTAAAAACAGGATAAATGGAAGAACTATGTTTCTAATGTAAAACTATTATTTTTTTATACCCACTCAGCCTCAAAAAAATAATCACCAGAGAGAAATCTAATTAGTTAAACATCTTGTATATATTCTGAAATACCAAAAGTACTAATTTATTGAACTATGTCTTATCTAATGGGAAAAAAAATTCCAGTCATGAAAAACAAACAACTCATTATGTACCCAGAATAGCACTAATAATCCTAAAGAAAGGGTAAAGAAAGAAAGATGGAATGATTGCTCTAGCAGCAAAAATGGAACCAACAGCATCGAAGAAAAATGTTCTCCAACAGTTCCTGTAGGGATGTACTTTGGGAGGAACAGTACAAATAACAGAGAAAAAGGCAAAATGACAAAGTCTAAGGCAACAGGGAAACAAAACTGTACTAACCATACACAGATACATTTAAGAACTATTTCTATATTGAGGATTACATAAATAAAACTACTTAGTATAAAAAAATTATATATGAAATATACTTACGGATCAATAGAAACCTTAATACAGGTCATGTTCTTATCCCTCTGCTTATTGTCAGCAGCATTAACTATAAAATTAAATATTTCGATGAGTAATAAAATACACAAAGTTATATAAATAAACATATGGACATAACTGTATGTGCATCTCTACTTAATATAAGCATCTATATGTGATAATAAATAATGCAAATTACTGCTAACATCTACTGAAAAAAATCTTATTTTATATCATACCAAATTCCTTTTATATTTTCCATTACAAAAAAATGGAAAGAAATGTTTAAAAAAATTAAATAAGGGCAAAAACATCTGCCCTTAGCCTCCAATCCAAGTCTAAAAGTAAAAAGATTGGTTTAATTATTTCTTATCTTGGTAGGAAATACTTTCTCTTAATCTCCTTCAATATACTAGTGATTTTATATGCAGACTAAACTGAAACCAACTAGTTATTTTTAATTGAAATCTTTAACTCTTATGAATGAAAATTCTAAATCTTATGCTGATGACAAAAATATTTTTGCTTTATTTAACTACTGCCTCAAGATAGCTGTCAAACAGAACTTCAACCAAAGAATGTGTTTCTGACAAACACTATGTAATAAACGTAAAATGTAAAATCAAATGGATAGTTGGGAGGGAAATGTGAGAATACAAAACATAACCAGTTTTGTTCTCCTACCACTTTCCCAAGGACCAACAGGAAGAAACTCAGAGAGGGCCACACAACCCCATGAAACCTCAAGCTGTATTAATGAGGTGGCAGAACAGAGAGAATCTTCAGAAAGCATAAGGTTAAAAACATTTCCAAAGGGCAAGCATTCCATAAGAGTTGATAAGGCATTCATTGTAATCTAATTAATCATGTGATTCGGAAGAGACAAGAGATCATTTTACAGCAATGGCTATTAAACTTGGCTGCCCAACAGAAAAGACCTGATTTGTTAGTGAAAAACATAAATTTAGGGCAGGCATGGTGGCTCATGGGTCTGAGGGCAGTAGTGTAAAAAGTTCACACGACCCCATCTCAACCAATCGGCTGGGTGCAATGGGGCACACCTGTCATTCCCAGCTATGCCAGGAAGCAAAACTAGGAAGATCATGGTCCAGGCAGGTTGGGAAAGAAAGCAAGACCCTATCTTGAAAACAGCCAACACAAAAAGGGCTGATGGAGTGGTTCAAATGGTAAAGCACCTCCCTAGGAAGCACAGGCCCTGAGTTCAGACCCCAGTACAGCCAAAAAAGCCATGTCCCATCTTCAACTCACAGAATCTGCCCAGATCAGGCCCTGCAGTCTCCATATTTAACATTCGCCCCCCAGGTAACAGTGATTCTTACAAGTGCCACTTGTTATATAGGAGTTCAGACCAACTACCAGGATTACAAATACAGCACATTCACTTTTCAGAAGTTCTCTGAGCTTCAAACAGATGAGCAAACAGAAACAAAAGATATGAAGCATAGAGATATGAAAATATTACATCTAGGCAAAAATTTTCTGAACAACATTCATACACAGCATAAAAGCTAGCAGTATACTTTAAAATGTGTACTGTAAGTCTGGCTTTATATATACAGAGACACTATAACAACATTAATAGAAAAAGATGGACTAACCTAAGCAATTACTCACCCAAAATTTCATCAAAGATCTTATATAAACCTGGAACAAAGGTAACCTCTCTGCAATTCATTCCTACATCTTCATCATACACCCACATTAACTGCATTGACAGAAAAATTCAACACATTACTCCATAAATCTTTAACATCGATTTTACATAGTATAAATCCACATTGTCATTTACTCTATGTAAAATAGGTCTTCATAGGAGAACAGATATAACTTCAGCTATAGTCAAGTTCTCTATTCATACTGAATTTAAACAACCTCAGAAATGAAAAGTTGTTCATATTCTTTCAAGTCTGTATTTTTATTTATGTATAAAATCAGTTTTAACCCAAATAAGGTACTTGGGCCAGGGTTGTAGCTCAGTGGTAGAGTTTGTGCTTAGCATGCATGAAGTTCTGGGTTCAAGTCCTAACACCAAAACAAACAAAACACCACCTATGATTCCAGTTTCTCTGCCGGTTCCAAGGAAATAAAGTTTGGTAGTCCTAATTCTAACCATTCCTATAGCAGGTAAGGACCACAAACCAAATTCACAAGGTCTTGCAATTTCCCTGTGTACTTTTATAAGGCACCAAAGAATCATTAGAAATAGTAGCTAAATAAAATAGAAAAAAAATAAAACATTTTCACTTTACACTTTTACTTCATGCTTTACATTTTTCTACAGCATAGTAGTAAAATGTTAACAAAGCATGCCTTTGAACTTCCCAAAATTAAGATCAAACATAATAACATATATGACAAAATATATAAAGCTGAGTCCACAGTAAGCATTAAATAATCGTTTATATATATGTACTACTATTAAAGTAAACCACAGCATGAACTTAGGAAAGTTTTAAAAATCTAGATGGTATCATTTTACTATTACTCTAATTTCTGTCTTCTGAAAGTATTTATCTCCAGAAGGAACTGAAGGCATTTCTACTTCTAGACCTCTCTGCCCTCTCTCCTTTTGTGTGTGGGTGTTGAGGATCAAATCTAGGGCCTTGGGCAAACTAGGCAAGCACTCTACTACTGAACTACATCTCCAGACCGCTCCAGGATCATGAAGACATGAAATTATGGGTATACTCAGAATAATTTTATCACCTTATTTTAAAACGTAGGTATAGGTACATATCTCCTAATTTTAATCAGTTTTAGCAAATAATTACCTGTGTTAATGGCTCCACTGATCCAATATATGTATCAGGACGAAGGAGAATGTGTTCAAGTTGTGTCTTCTTCTGGTATACTCTCTCAACAGACAACTTCTTTGAAGAATCATTTTTATTTGCTGTCTCTGACTCTTCTTTTTTTGCAGCATTGTTCTGATCAAAAAGAGTCTAAAATTAACCAAAAAATCAAATTTAAATAACCTACCAAGGGGTAAACTAAAATGTGAATGGACACATAGCATGGGTTTTCTTTTTTAAATGAAAAAATTACCTTTCAGACTCATTGATGCTTAAAGACTGAAAGAACACTGATCTATCTACTGAAAGTCTAGTTCTTTTTATAACATGAAGCTATAGTTTTGACTGAGCCCAAAATAATTATATATAGTCACCACAATCACTAGAACAGCCTCCATCTAGTGAATCCAGAATATACATATTTATCAATTCTGTAAGATCTCAAGTTAATTTTTGTGTTTCTCAAAACTTCTCAAGGAATATAAATTCTGGTCACATTACTGAATCACAATGACTCAATCTGGGTGGCTACAAGGGTCACAAAGGCTTCCAGATGTAGGTTTCCTGCCATCAAGCTACTAAAGACTACAGTAAAGGTACACAAAAATAACCTACAGAAAACATTAAGCTGTAGTTAATAAACACTAATATGGTTGGGAATAAGCATGGCTTATAAAAATCCTCAAATTTCACACATTTGTAGATTAGCTCTGGCTGCCCCAATCCTGAGGTGCCCTACAATTCCAGTTTCACCTCCAATTCTAAGTAAGTAGAATTGGTGATTCTAATGCTAACATTCCCACAGCAGATGAGGATTCCAAATCAAATTCCCAAGTCTAAGAACTTTCCTGTCTTCTTGATAGCAGCAGCAAACATTCTCCTTCCAGAATTCCCGAAAACTGACAAATATGACATTCCATTAAAAAGAAGGCTATTATGATGGCCTTCTTTGACTTTTCAGAATAAAAAAAACTCGTAAGACACAGTGAAAACTGACTTATCTTCATAAGTCTTTGACTTTAGTAGAAAGAAATACATAACAAACAATGAAAGATAGATTTTTATGCAATTAAATAAGCAAATTAAATTCAGTTCCTTGACATAAACATACAATCACCTTTAAAATTATTTCTTGAAAATGTCATTACATATGTTTAAAAATCAAAATGCAGGGCTGGAGGCATACTCATGTAGATCACCTGTCTAACAAATATGAAGCCCTAAATTCAAACCCTAATACCACCCTCCCCCAAAAAGAAGTGCTGAAAAGAAAAATTTAAATGCATGATTTTGAGTAGTAGAAACCAGAACAAGAATTTTAACATATAAACTCTCAGGAAATGAAAAACATTAAAAATTTCCCCATGTCATAAATTTTATATAAAATTGAAAAGATTTAATAAAGTTTAAAAACAAGCGTATAACAAATAACTAATTTTACTAGATTTCATGCTATATTCTTATACCTTCTTTCACTTGTATATTTACCCTTTAATACTGCAGAGTCAGTTTAAAATAGATTTGGGCAAAAGAAAATAATTGTTTCATAGGTTTCCATATTGTATTTCTGCCAAGAGTTAGATGATAAGCTGGCAGGCCAGAAATATGAATATTTTTAAAATACCAAATAGTGTCCAAATTTCTAATCATGTTCCATGCTTTTAAGAGATAATTCATAGAAACATAACTGATTTTTAAAATAGCTTCTCAGAACAAAGATTGCAATGACTAAGATCAAACTCTGTAAGAAAATCCCTAAAGATTATAGAAAGGATAGAATTGAAGGTGAATAACTTTCTACCATTAATTTAGAACAGCAATTCTAAGTTTGCAATTATTGACATAAAACTTACGGACATGAGTAGCTAAATAAGGAAAAAACTTCTTATCCAAGCTACTCTTCTGAAGCAAGCTCCATCACAAAGAAAGTGTTTTCAAGAAAATCAGAGTCTCATGTTTACCTAATTTGTACTTCCAAGTTTTACTCTGATGAATTACAATAAACTAAAGTGGCACAGGGATGGACAATAAGGGTAACATCTTTTCCTCATGCCTCCCCCCACTTTTTTTTTTTGGTTTGAACTCATGACCTCATGCTTGCTACACAGGCTCTCTACCACTTGAGCCATTCTACCAGCCCTCCTCATGCCTTTTTCAATAATTTACCATTGTGCCCACATCTTCCTTATGGTTACCACCTCTTCCTTCTCTGTCACTATTCCAAAATTGATATATGAGAAAAAATGTTTGGCCTAGACTTAGCAAGTTCAAAATTTTCTTATTCTTGTGAGGATGGCACAGGCTCATGCCTACAATCTTAGCTACTTGGGAGGCTGAGATCAGGAGGATCACGGTTCGAGGCCATCCTGGGCAGATAGTTCACGAGACCCCCCCATTCCCAAAGTAACTAGAGCAAAATGGGCTGGAGGTGTGGCTTAAGTAGTAGAGCACCTGTTTTGCAAGTGAGAAGCCCTGATTTCAAATCCTAGTCCCACAAAAAAAAATCAGAAAATGTGTGCGATGTCAACAAAATAGAAAACCCCAGACCCCTTCCTTTCCATGGAAACATGGATAAAACAACAATAGGTGAACCACTTGCCTTTGTGAGGAATATATAAACCATTTAAGAGGTCCTGTACCCCAGATGAACACAAAACCGCATCAAAACCCATGATGTCCATCACCCTCCCCAGCAAGGCAAAACAGGAAGGAAACTCCTAACTTCCAACTTCTCCTTGGAGAGGAAAGAAGTAAAATGTACCTCCAATGAAAAGGTAGGAGGAGTACTACTCTATGGACTGGTTTCTCATTTCTGATTCTCAGCACTGACAGAACAAGGTGCTAGACTGGGGGGCATTGAGAACAAAGGAAATTAACATGATTTGGTCTAGTACCCAGAGTACACAGTACCAGAAACAGCCACTGGGTGGAGCTCAAACCCAATGGCTTAGGAGTAGCACCATGAAGACACAGTATGACAGACACCAAGGAATGCTTGTGAGCAGAGGTACAGGCAAACCTCTTCAATTAAGATATTACAAGCACTAGCCAAGAGACCATACATCCACAGAAAAGATCTGTAAATACCTCCATATTATCTAGCTAAAATAACCAGATGGAGAAAGTCCTCTCAAGATGAAACCAGACTGTAAAGAGTAAGAGGTAGCTAAGCATTTAAATGTCAATCCTAACAAAAAATAACAAGATATTCAAAGAAATAGGGAAATATGACTTATCCAAAGGATTGACCCTAAATTAATGGAGACATATGAATTTCCAGGCAAAGAATCCAAAATAAGCTGGGTGCCAATAGGTCATACCTGTAATCCTAGTTACTCAGGAGGCAGAGATCAGGAGGATCATGGTTTGAAGCTAGCCTGGGCAAGTTTTTCACAAGACACTATCTCAAAAAAAAAAAAAAAAAATCACAAAAAAGGGCTGGTGGAGTGGCCCGAGGTGTAGCCCCTGAGTTCAAACCCCACTTCACAAAAAAACAAATGAAAAAAAAAAACTAATCTAAAATAACTGTCATAATGATGCTCAACAAGCTAAAGGAACACAGACAATTAAACAAAAACATAAATGAGAAAAATCAACAGAAGAAAAATAGGAAGAAGAATCAAACATTATTTCTGGATGAAGAATATAATAGCTGGGGGGAAAAATGCCTCAACACCTCAACAGCAAAGAAAAAAAATAGAAAAGTCTGAAGACAAGAAATTCAAAGGCAGAGGAGCAAAAAAAAAAGAGGAAGAAGAAGAAAAATGAAGAGAGCCTGAAAAACTCATAGATCACCATCAATCAAACAACATACACATTACAGAAGTCTCAAAGAAGAAGAAAGAGAGAAACAGATAAACAGCCTGAATGCGCCTGATCTCATCTGATCTTGGAAGCTAAGCAGTGTTGGGCCTGGTTAGTATTTGGATGAGTAACAGAGGGTGAATTTGATCAAAATACATTATATGCATGCATGGAAATATCACAGTGAAACCCTTAATTTCAAAAAGAGAAAAAAAAATCTATTTGAAGAACTAATTGATGGCTGAAAACTTCCAAATATGAGAAGAAATGGACACACAAGTTCAAGAAGCTCAAGGAATTCAAACAAAGAATTCCTTGAGCACATTATAAACTGTCAAAAGTCACAAAAGAGAGAATCTTGAAAACAGCAACAGAAACCAAAGTCATCAGATGCAAATAGGTTATCAGCCAATCACTCAGCAGAAACCTTGCAGACTACATGGGAGGGGTATGATATATTCAAAGTGCTAAAAGTTAAAAACTGCTTACCAAGAACACTACCTACACAAAAAATGCTGATGAGAGTCCTTCACATTGAAGAAAAAGGACAAGAAATAACAACACAAAAATATAAAACTTTCCAGTAAAGGTAAATATAAACAAATGCAGAATTTTTCTACATTTGTAATGCAGGTACATAGATCACCTTAAAATATGCTTAGAATTTTAAAAGCATAAAAATTATAAATCTATGTTAAATGATATGCAAAATAAACAGGTACTCTGTCCTATCTATAATGGAGGCAGAAATGTAAAAGTATAGTTTTTACATGTGACTGTGATTACACATTTTTTTATCCCTTTAAGATGTTTTATGAAATTACAATGGTAATTGAAAATAAAATATCTATAGAATATACATAAAGAAGAATTTAAAAAGAATCAAAATATATCACTATAAAAAAGATCAATGAAACACAAAAGACAGCAATGTAGGAAATATAGACAAAAAAAAAAGCCATGATATAAAGAAAACAAGTAATAAAATGGCAATAGTAAGTCCTTTCATATCAGTTATTACTTTAAATGTTAATGGATTAAATGCCCAGTTAAAAGACATAAACTGGTCAGTTGGTTAAAGAAATAAAATCTTGAGCTGGGAGCATGCCTCAGGTGGTAGAATGCCTGCCTAGCAAGTGCAAGACCCTGAGTTAAACCAATCCCAGTATTGCCAAAAGAAAAAATATCCAATTACATGTTGTCTACAAGAGAGACTCACTTTAGACCTAAGAACACACACAAGAACTACAAGTGAAAGGATTCAAAAAGACATTCAATGTAAACAGGAACCTAAAGAGAGAGATAATACCATACTTACATTTAGACAAAATACACTTTAAGACAAA